TTCAGTATTGATAATACTCAATAACTAATTTAATTCACGAATCTCGATTGCATTCCATTCTGCTTTCACCACAGGTATTCACGTTTTGTGGAATTTTTTAATATGATCTATCGTATATTTAAATATCTTGTTGTATGAAATTTCATTTTAACTTGTGATCTATTGAAAGAACCTTCACTGTGCTCAACTGTGGTCGCACTGTAGCGGGCCTGCTATGGCCGCTCTATGAGTTTTCTCCATCCGCCGCACCTATCTAACGGAGACTGAAGAGAAAAAGTATGCGTAGGTAGTTATCGCGGGAAGCAGCAGATTGCTAGTAGGCAGCCTTCCTATGCTTGACCTACCACTCTTGTAATGACTGTAAATTTTTGTATTCAATGTCCATAAAATGCCTGTATTCGTAAACCTGAATGCATTTAGTGATAGTCCTATGTGCTATGTCGTGGATGCGGGTTTTCCATGAAATTTTAGTAAACCTTGTGGCCTTTGAAAGTTTTCTGATCCATTTTGATTCATCCTCGTACGTTAGAGCCCGCTTGCAGAGACCCTGTAACTTTGTGTATGGAGCGCAGTTCTCCCGCTACAGCACTTTACTTGCGCACTGTCATTTCTGACTTCCTACCCGATACAGCGTTTCCTGGCAACAATAAGTTGCCAGTAAACGGCACCAATGAGTTAAACATATTCCTGAATGGAAATATATCAGACTCTGTCCATGAATAATAATTTATTTGAAGAGTCACTTGGAGGGCTAATTACTGTATTTTTTGTATATACCCGAAAATTAGATTTTTTAATTTCTCCAATGCCATCAGAGAACAACACAACTCGAAATATCCCAGTCTGATTTTTTCCAAATAACGCGAAGGCCTGTATTTCTATGGAAACAAAATTTAATAATATCTCTCCAACTAATTGTTCTCTCAGATTTTGTTGGAATGTTTGAAACTTTTACAAATGTAAATTGCTGCAAACTTTGTGACCGCGAGGTTGATTGGCTAATTGCCTAAATGAACATGAAATTATTAAAAACGCTGCTAACGAAGTGCATTAAAATATTGATTCGCATGCTAAAGAATGGCTGAAGCTTGCACAATTTTATGATCCTGTATGAGGCCTTGTTTCATGTGCCTTTGTGGTGCTTAAGTTCAATTGTAGCTTGCACAATTTTGTGTTCGTATATAAAGTCCTACGCCGCTTTGGTGCTTACTTTGCGCTGTAGCTTGCACAATTTTGTGTTCGTATATGAGGTCCAGCTTTGGTGCTTACTTTGAGCTGTGCCTTGCACAATATTGTGTTCGTATACGAGGTCCCACGCTGCTTTGGTGTTTAATTTAAACGAGATTTTGCAGCAGCTGAGCCAGAGACGGCTTATGAAGAGCAGTACAATGAGCTCGGCTGACGCAGCGATTCAGTGGCCTCCCACTTGTAGGGTGTCAAAGACACTCTGCATAGAAATACCATAATTAGGATTGATTTATGTCCGCTGAGGCGCCATTAAAGCCGAGGCACACAGTCAAAGCCCGCTAAAAAATTTCCCTGATTTCTGTAAATTACGGTCCCGCCGTGAAAGTCCTGGGACGTTTATTTGAAAAAAAGCTAGAAATCGTCATTTGGAATTCAGATTCAAATTGAAGAAATGCAGCCTAGACTTCATACTCAAATTAGATGAAATTGATAATATTTCCACTACGGCATTTATTTGCCGCTAAAAAATGTAACGATTATATATAAATATGCCATTTACGAAGTTTTCCTCATTTTTGACTCATTTAATCTTCGGCTTTCGCCTTTTACAAATTAACCGACGTTTGGCCTGTGATTTTTTCTGTGCGGTGACAGAGCGCTTCTTAATAAAGGGAACAAAACCAGGCGAGCTCATCACGACCTGGCTGCTTTTTTTCTCGGTTCGCTGCTGCAATCGACAGCCAAAACTTTTGTGCCTTCGTACAATAGAAAAATATTCCTCCGTCATGCTGGAGTTTTTTTTCAGGCTTTCGAGTGCGTAGCGAAGAAAATTGTGCGCTGGCCGTTTTAATTATATTCTATGTTAACTATACATCAATTTTATAAACGTGTGAGTTCCTCTATCCTTAAAGATAAATAGCATATTTTGAAGGGATTTTTTTCTCTAAAGGAGTCTCATGATGAGATTTATGAATTGGACAACTAGGCAAAATTTGTCGCACGAGTTCTCTTGCAAAGCCGAATATATCCGATCGTTCGAGCTCAATACAATTCACTTTCATTCAATTAATGAAATTCACCAAATAATGTAAATAACCTACTATAGATACAAGCATCAATGAAGTTACAATTGACAATGAAAATGTGAAAATTGAAATGAAAATGTGAAAATTGAAATGAAAATGTTCAAATGTGAATTGACAATGTAACGTTTTTGCTACAAATAATATCCATTAATGTTCATGATACGCGACTCATAAGCTGCAAAAATATGTCAGCGACCAAATTTATAAGCAGACGACTATCAACTCAAACTCACCACGACCGAGACAGCTGATCATGAAATGAATTAGAGTCTCTGCGAATTCGTGTAACTGAAGATGTTCTATTAAAATGTATTTTTTAAGAGTAGCAGCGAGCTTATTCGATCTGCCAGCAGCAGTCATGCAGGAAGCTTAGGTCGTTTGCCTGCAGCGACGTTGCACGCTCGTTCCCAAGATGGAGTTCTAGGGAAGGATTGAAGCGACGGTGGAAGAGTTTAGTGCTCCAACAAGAAAGGGGAGGGGGTCGGTGATCCCTCTGTGTGCACTCATATTGCTCGGCCACCTGTGATGGATCGCCGCTAAAATTGCTCGTTGTCTCGGATAATAAACGAACGCGTGCAATTTGCTCCTTGGCCTCACTTGGCCCCGCAGCTTGAGGCTCTCGAGCTTCCTTCATTGGGCCTTTAACGGACCAAGACGTCAGTGCTGCGCCAAGAAGCTCGTATGGGAACAGAAGCACACACAAAGACCTCATAATTGCTTGCCTCACACGTCTAATGAAATGGTAAATATGAGCCGCGATGGCTGGTGTCAAGCATCCTTGCTCTGTGGCCAGATCTATCAAAGATTTGTCGAGCAGTCCTCGCTCCAGAATGACAAGTTAATTTACAACTGTTCGACTTCTTATAGGATCTTTTTCCGTAAGGGAGAACATGGCAGGAACATTCAGTATATATTTTTTTAGATTTGTAGAGAGGTCAACCATCTCACTTCAGTCTGTTGGTTTTGCAAAATGTATGATAGATGGTATTGGACTTATCTCTCTTATCACTGCTCTGATCTAAAAATAATGATACATAGTAATTCACATGTCACATTATTGTTCAATCGCCGTAGCTGCTCACATATAACGTTAACGCTCCCGGACGTTATCGCTGACTTTAATCCCATTTATTCTCAGTCTCAGGACTACTTTTTCAACGTCTGTTCTGATTTCGTAACGCAACATTCGCGGGAATTATATTTCTTATTCCAAACGTTACCTCTCTTCGTCAACCCTTGTTCAGTCGTGATTTTGACCATCGTGCTTCTCTCAGCACACTCAAATCATTTATATTTTTCTCATTTAACTCACAACAAAAGCTGAACTACAGAATATTTTTTATAACTTTATCACCGATTCTATTTCATAAAAATTGTAACGTTTCACATGCCTGCTTCCACTTCCCAAAATCCCACTTCCTCTTTTCCTTGATCTCTCAAGTTCCACATGCCTCCGCCTCGCTCTCAAGCTGCATATCCAACATATGTTTTACTTCTCCTCGCCTTCTTCCTGCCAAGCCCGGCAGTTTCACCCATAAACGGCTGAGTCGAGCCTCCGTCTGAGACGACGGACCAAGTTTTGCCTGCAGTCCAAATTGCTCTCCGGCGCCCCCGCTGAGAACGCCTGTCGCAACCTTCCGTGGTGCTGCGACGCGTCGCCTTACTCGAAAAAATCTACTGATTTGCTGCTTCTTTGATGTCCTGTGCACGCACAGATGCTTCTTTGAGCAGTTCTGCAGCTGCTGTAGTCGTATGGGATATACTTACTTGCAGCAGATTTCTAGGACTTCGTCGCCTGCTCCGGCTGCGTGGGAGTTACTCATATGCACAAACTTGTTTAATAATCTCGACTGTTATCATAGCTAGAAATCTTATTGTACACAATCGCTCTTTGGAACCTTCTCGTATTCTGTGGCTCTTAAGGAATTAATTATGAATTTGTGATGCGTGGCGCCTGATCATGCTCTGCAACAGTACTTGTGACACTTGGACAGGCGCTGCAGCTGGGAGAGACCATGCATCAACTGTTTGATTTGGCTCGTGTGATGCTAATGGCTGTGACCATCATATCTTGTGCTGTAAATATGTAGACAGGGACGTGTTGCACACATAGGTGAAACATACTCGTCTGTTAGAGACCTGTTGGGCCGGCATTAGTGATGCCCTTTTAATCTGCAAAGAAAATAATTCTAATCATGCCGCCAAGCGCTACTTGCCTTTGAACTTCAGCTTTGTAAAGAAATTCACTTCGCAAAATAATCGTAGAAACTTATTCCAACTCGAAAAATGAAGGGAAACATAATCGGCAACATTGTTTGTGGTTAATTATTGTAACTCGAAAGACGTAACTCCCGATTATCGATGCGAGCCAAATTAAATCTACTCAGTTTGTGTATATTATTTAAATCAATGTGGAGTGAGCCGGCATGTTTTATTTTAAAAACAACTCTCAATCAAATAATCAATTTCAAGAGGCACCAAACCAGATTTATATCGACCATACAATACGCGAGATAACATAAATATTTCCATCCACCAGCAATTGAGTAATCTGCTGTATTTTTTAGTTTCCTGCTGGGACTCCATGTAACCGAATCCTTGAACTGCTTCCAAATCTCCTTCAAGTTACTTAGTGTTCTTGTAGTCTATGTAATTCTTTTTTTCTGCGCCACGTTCTTTCATCATCATGTTCAAGATGAAAATTAAAGATATTTTTTTCATTTCAAGATGTCGCAGCTTCCGGGTTTGCATACGACTACTTCGCAAGTGAAAATCAAGATGAAGCGCTACAGTCAAAGAAGCTGCGATAGCCAATGGTCCAGAAATTATGCTTCGGTCGTTGTATTCATTCTTTTTCTAGGTAAGTAACTTCAATATTATGGAGCATTACTTTAAATTACACTAATTTCCTCTCGTAAACAGGCTTTATTAGACATGTATGAGCCTCTGAATAAGAAGCAGGTGCAAGAAATTCCGATAATTGTCTTGCATCTGATGAGCATTTTCTGGATTTGTTTTTTTTTCATTGCTCACATGATGCAAGTGACACGACACGCATCAATAAATGTTTACCAAAAGTGGTTTGATGTATTTTGTCTGATTTAAATATTTTTACGGTCGTACTCTTACTTTTATCTTCCTGTGATGATTTTTTACTGAAACTTGGTTTAGACTGGAGTACGAAATAATTAGGAAACTCAAAGACATCTTTTCCACATCTTAAAAATAACTGCAAGTCTTTTTTTGAATTTTCATACCGGAAAAACATTTACTTGTTTCAATATTATCTCTAGGATGGGTTTCTGAGATCACATCGGAAGGAGATCGCCTCAGGTCATGGGAATATAAAATATATTACTGTCATACATTAGTATTATTTGGATGAACAGATAAAAATCTGTGTTGAAAATTCTGTAACACTTAAGACTTTGCTTATTCGCTTTACTATATTTCGATACTCAATAGTACGAATTTATATTGAAGTGAAATTTAAAAGAATGCAACTCATACGGAAAGTCATCTTGAAGCATTCATGCCGAAGCAAATATATATAACTCGAATAAAACTATTCGAACATATCCTGAATAAACGCTTTGTGAGTTCATCGGAACAATTTATATGGATCACTTGGGCAGATATTTTCTTAAACACCTCCATGACCGTTCCCTGCAATAATACAATCAATCGCTCACATCCAATCAAACCTGCTTGCTGCAGCATCAAAGAGGCATGTCCATTTGCCGCATAGGCTCTGTATTGTACGACTTCGCTCCTCGCTATAACCTTGCATACGTAGACATGCTTTCATCTATGCATCCGACCGTGGCATAACACCCTGATTCATAGCTTTAATATATATTTTTATTCTCATTCAAACTAGTATAAGACCGAAATCACGTCCCCGCTATTTAGGTAACATGATATTCAATGGTTATATGATTTGCGATGATTTTGCCGAATGCGCAGTGAAATAAGTCCTGCTTTACCCAAACCTAACTAAAGAGACCAAATTTGCTAAGATGAACATACCTTGTTTTTCAAGAAAGTAAGAAATCGCTGATTTACGATAGCATTATACTTTTTAACACCAATACACAATACTGGAAGCAAATACCTACTTATAGTGTTGCACTTCTCAATTAAAGTAGCAGCGAAACTCGCCCATAACGCCGAACCCAATAAGCACTTTTCCTCCCTCAACGTGCTGGCATAAATCTATGGTAGCGGTAACCCGAAGACTCGCATCACAAACGTGCGTATTATCTCGGGGCGATTGGTCTATAAAAATAACATCATTGAGAACAGTGCGGCAAAGATGTGCATTTATCAAACTGACGGCCTAAAAACTCGAGAAACTCACAATCGATGAGCAAAAGAGGCAGAGCATCGCTTGGCCCGAGGGAAATGGCGAGTTTTTGGTCAATTGGGGACATTTCCGCTGCCGCGGGCGAGGGAATATCCTCTGCAAACACACCGAGTAGATCGAGGCTGCCGCCGTCTTTTGGCAAGTGCTAAACTTGCCTAGAGAACCAACTTCGGGCTTACGAATGGCACCAGCCTTAGCGGCGAGCCTTAAATAAATGAAAACCTAATGCTGAAAATGAGCCTGTGATGAGGATGCATGAGAATTTCTCAATCTGTTCTCAATACACTCTTGGAGCGTCAAATTATAACTTAGTTAAGCATTGATTATTTTGCAATTATGATTTGCAGAAACCAAAGTAACGATGCAATTTTTTGTAATTAATTACTGAGTATGGTAATTACTGAGTGAGAAACAATCTGATTTGATGGGTAGAGAGATAATCCTTGGAAAAATAATTATACATATCAATAAGTTTGATAATGAATTGGTAACATAAATGATGAATAGTAATTGAATTAGCTCACAAATAATTGCCCCAAAGTCTATTAAAATGTGTAAACTTTTTGAAAAAAGTTCGGATGCAACTGTTAATTTCGAATGAATTGAGCCTTGAAACCCATCTTTCTTTTAATAACAACACTCCCTAATAACAACGTACTTCCCTTTTATGTCACGTTTCATTGTGACTACACTTTCAAAAAATAAGGTTTTGTCGTCCACTCAAAAATTTAATTCTTCCCGGAAAATCCCTCCGCAAAATTTTACGCAATCCGGATTTTCTTTCTGCATGCCAGGATTGATCGAATTACTATGATGTATTTTTTTTCGCATTGGAACAGGATTGATATACGGTGGCGTCTCCAACAGTCGCTAAGTGCCTATATATGCCAAGTATTTTAGGCTTCAGCTAAACATGAAAAGTTCATTAGGAATTTTACAATTAGTTTTAATTTAAGGGGCCCTGCCTTTCGATATATTGTACGATCTGGACTCATGATAATTCGATATTTATCTTAATCTAAAAGTTATCGAGCATAATAAATAATGAGTTCATCCAGACTGATTAATTATCAATAAGAAGTATGCTGGTCAATTTGAAGCAACAAGTAGAATATACGTAGATGATAATCACTTAAACCTAATAAAGAGCTTGAATAAACCGAGCGCTTGATTTTCGTTCTAAAAGTAACCCTGGACTGTAAATTGACTAGAATTATAATAACAGCGCTAATTCGGTCTTCAGGCGAGCGTAAGGGTTAATGGATAGCACTGTTAAAATCCATTATAAAAACGAGCACAAGGATCAATGGAAATTACTTTTAAATATATTATATAGACGAGAGCAAAGGTCAATGGATAATAATGTTAAATCTATTATAAAGACGATCGTTAGGGTCAATGTATAATAATGTTGAACCTAATGTAAAGACAAGCGTCAGGGTCAATGTATAATAATGTTGAACCTAATGTAAAGACAAGCGTCAGGGTCAATGGATAATAATGCTAAACCTAATGTAAAGACGAGTGTCAGGGTCAATGGATAATAATTTCAAATCTAGTGTAAAGACGAGCGTCAGGTTCAATGGATAATAATGCTAAACCTAATGTAAAGACGAGTGTCAGGGTCAATGGATAATAATTTCAAATCTCGTGTAAAGACAAGCGTCAGTGTCAATGAATAATAATGCGAAATCTAGTCTGAAGATGAACGAAAGGGTCGATGAGGACTAAGAACTTAGCTCTACCAGAATGTTGTGTTATCTACGCGCCACGCTCGCCGCGTCAAAGACACACGACCGGAGTCCGCGACGCGACAGTCGTGCGGGCGGCCTTTGTGCGGGAGATGAGCAGCGGAGCTCTGAGTCCCATCAGTCCTGATCCTGCGCGCCTCTCGCTGAGTTATGGCGTCGCTGCACGCCAAGCATGTTGCACGCATCTTATCTTTCCACCATAGCACTCGCAACCAGAAATGCACTTGTATTTTTTATTGCCTTTTTAGGTAACGAAATCTTCTGGTATATGTTCATTATCATACGCAGTCTCCAGTTTCAATAAATAAGTTTTTATTTTGCTCATTGTGAAATTCGCAATTCCTTCACTATTGTAGAATTGAATATAAACTTTAAAGTTAGAGTATTCGCAATGTCAGAATCGGCAGCTATAGAGTATTTGATTTTGATATTCAATAATTAAAAACTGTAATGTTTGTTTGCTTCCAGGTCTTTCAGACGGAATTCAAATTTATCGCAGCTTAGACCCAGAATTCCAAAGCCCATTGTCCTCAGCTCCCGGTGGAGAAAGTCTTGCCACTCTACCAGAGAAGAAGCTACGGCAGGAATTAAACATTACTTCCTTCAAGCTTAAAGACTGGAGTGCAAACAATGATTCCAACACAAAGCTAGTAATTTCAACAGCTGCTTTAAGCCCGCAAGCAGATTATCCGAATGCAGGGCCAAAGATAAATCCAAGGAAAATTCGTGACTTTCCTCACGAGTTCGATGCGGCTTCGCACAGACGAGGTCAGTACAGGGAAGCATACGGCTACGACCCTGCTAGCCCCAGAGAAAGTTTGTATCAGAACCAAAAGATCGATCATCAAAATGAACAAAGTCGCCAGAGGGAATCTTACAGGGATTGGACTGAATCGAACCATGCTGGCATTCGGTCTTATGGCAACCCCCAAACATACGAAACCAGGTGATAATATTGGATATAATAGTTAAATATAGTGCCTCGATTGGGACTCAGGTCCCTTTTGAATGAGTTTCTAAATTGCAGTACAAAAAATTTTCATCGCTCTTTTATCATTTCAACTACCTGATTAGTATTGATGAACTCTTAGTTCGATGAGAAAATATTGGGCCAAAGATGGGCATTTGATTTTTTAATAAACCCAAGTGCCCACTTTCAAAAAAACTTTCAGCTTAATTTCGCTTCAATCAACGCCGTAAAAAATGAAATTTATTTGCATATCTTAAATATATGCACAATATTTTCTCAACTTGAACGTTCTAAAACTCAAACAGCCACGGACCTTTGGACGAGACGATAGTGAAGATCACGAAGCTGGACGTGCCGGCAATCGTGAAGAATGGCGAGGACGTCGACCTGAGGTGCCACTTTGAGTTGCTGGGCAAGAAGAACAAACTCTACACCGTCAACTGGTGGCGGGGTGCCAACCAGTTCTACAACTACAAGGCTAACAAAAAAGGCCCCAAAAGTGCCTACACCTTCGATGGAATATCAGTAGACGTGAGCATTCTAATGTCTAACCATAATTAAGTTTTTTATACTTCTAAATGGAGGAGTGTTACTTATAGAAAATGATATGATTAATGTAACGTTAAGATTAAATTATTTCGGTGTGACATTTTTCAAAAAAGGTTGGTTTCTTTTAAATTTGTGTTGTTTAGTATAGCATGCCAAGGAAACACTGTTCAAAAGGTTTTTAGTATTCGTATTTTTATTAATTTATATTAATGCAGTTTATAAAAGTGTGATGAATTGTGCAATTATTTATATAATTTGGTTCAACGCGCGCAAAAAGAGAAACAATGGCTTATATTTATGAATGTGAATAGACATTTCAGTTGACAAGTAGAAATTGGGGACCATCTTTATTCTGGATAGTAATCGAAGGTGTTGCTTATTCTGGATAGTAATCGAAGGTGTTATTTATTCTGGATAGTAATCGAAGGTGTTATTTATTCTGGATAGTAATCGAAGGTGTTATTTATTCTGGATAGTAATCGAAAGTGTGAATGAAAGGGCTCCAGCAGACGCTGTCACAGAACAAAACCTACTTACAGAGTATAAAGCATGGGCAGCAAAGAAACCGAATGCTCTTCATTCGCTGCTCCGGGGAAATCTCTCGCTGGATTACAATAATTACCCCATATCTGTCGCATTAATCATCTCACAGGAACAGCCTCAGCTACTTTATACGCAGTGTAATTCTCCAGAAGTCGATACCCGTGTCTTTTTACTCACCGCAGTCGAGTCTTTTATTCTTTTGAACCCTAAGATAGAGGCCTTATTTAGAATATGCTGAAGAGAAATTCAATGCAGAGCTAAGGATTTTGTTCATTCAAAACTTTATCCAGAAAATAATATGGTCCATGTACAAATAATATTTAACTTGTAGAAAATTAGTGATAACTTTTTTCCATTGGTGAATCATGAATATTTAACTTTTGCTTACAACATTAAATTAAATAAATAATCCAACGTTAAATAAATAATCCAACAGGAAGAGCTCTCCACGTCGAGCACCGTGCGTCTGCGCAACGTGTCCGAGAAGACGAGCGGAACCTACAAGTGCGAAGTCATGGCTGAAGGACCCGCTTTCAAAACCGCTGTGGAGAAGCAGACTATGACCGTCATTGGTAAAATATTTCTTCCAATAATGCTTAATTAAGCGTGAAATGCAGTGAATGAAATTAAGCGTCCAAACAAACATTCATAATAGTCAAATTACAACACTCATAATACTCTCACTTTGTCGCACTAAGTCTTAGATTTCATCGAAATAAAAAATAAAATTTTCTCTCTCCCGATCATCCATTTCAGATTCGAAAAATATATTCATGTTCCACTGCTTTTTTCAAGGTTAAATATTTCAATAATCCATTTTCTTCATGCCACACGCAGTTCCTCCGGAAGTTGTGCGCATCAAGACGTTATGGGACGGTCTTGCCTCCCACATGTACCGCGTAGATGACCTTGTCGATCTCAACTGTACTGCCATCGGCGCCAAGCCTCGGGCTGACCTCTCGTGGGAGATGAACGGCAGACCGGTAGGCTATCAAGTAGCATTCCACTTATAAAATAATTTGAAACATTTATAAAATGACTTGCATTTGTCAAAGAAGCGGGGAGATGAATCGAATCATGAATCAAAACCGATTCAAGAATGCATTTTTACGAAGGTGCTGTTTCGAACTCAAAATTCGAAAATTTTAACTCAATCTTTTCACTGTTTTAGGAACATTTCCTAATAAAATTCTATTTTCATTTGCCAACTTATGATTTTAAGTGTGCTCAACATCAATTCATTAAATCAGAGTCTACAGTAATATTAATTCAAAATACTGTAATTCGATCATTGTGGTGTCCATAATTTTAAAAGGTTGAAACAAGCTTACTTCGTATTGTACGTCAGACCTCCCTACATGTCGGACAAAAGTTACCCTAAAAAAGCTGGTTGGGCATCATCGTAGATCAAAGACTACGTTTATTGAGCCTAATTGCCGCTGACCGCTCGAGTTCTGACACCGATGCGAAATGCCTTTGCTGCTCTCTTTTTTATCCTATACTCCACGCATCTCTTTCATAGATTAACCGTGCCATTATGAATGACTTACTTTTTAAATTTGAAAGGGATGCCATCGCGTCAAAATGTTCCCTTGATTAACCTTAATTTTTTTATTGAGAATTTCCACATTAAAAACAGTCAGTACGAGATGAGATTCTCCGTTCATGCTGAAGATTGAATGAAAAATCCGCATCCAATTTATGTTGACCTCCTATTTTGTTTACAGGAAGCTCACGAATGAGGTTGGTTTCGTGTAAATCAGACGCCGTTCAGAATAATTATAGGATACTTTTTCAAAACAATTATTACGATTTAATTATTAACATTGTGCCCGCTTGGTTGCTCGAAATGATTTGTGCTTGCCGTTCAATTTAATTCTGCTAACTTTAATATCCTTTAGTTATTGCGCTTATGCAGAGTCTTGTTTCTTCATGATTTGATCGTTAACTGTGAGATATTACCTCGAAAAATGAATTAGCGCTTTAAAATTAGTAGAAATAATTTTTAGTTATTTGGAATCATTGATGAAATTTCCAGCTGCTATGCTTATTGGACTTGGATAAAACCTATTACAAACAATAAATAATGCAACGTTTCGTCCAAAATCGTTCGTAAATGGTATTTCCTTTAGGCTGATATTATTTTAAGTTTACCTAATTTTATTTTTAACTTTTGGAGGGGGAAATTATTGGGGAACCTATCCTTATACTAAAACCCTCGTCCCTTACCTTGATTGATTTCGGAGCCCAAAAAATCGCTCTGTATTTCATTTTTCTGGTATTTCACTCCTATTGAACTGAACAATAACCCAAAACTTCTGCTGCATTTTAAATAAAGATAATTTCCTATTTATTGTACCAGTTGAACGACCTGGACAGCCTCCCGTTCCCCGACTACGAGGACCAGAACGGCCGGGTCACCAGCTCCATAGGCTTGAAGTTTCTGGCGCCTAAATACTTCGAGGACCTGACTGCCACGGTGACGTGTGTGGCCAACGTCGCGGGCTACCGCACGACCGAAGACAGGAAGCTCTACCTCGACTCCAGCGCCACCTACCACCACATCTTTGCCAGGGCCTGTGGTATGTTCAATGTGGTATGTGGTATGTGGTATCAATGTGGCATGTGGTGTCAATGTGGTATGTGGAATCAATGTGGTATGTGGTATCAATGTGGTATGTGGTATCAATGTGGTATGTGGTATCAATGTGGTATGTGGTGTCAATGTGGTATGCTCCCTGTGTGCTGTCAATGAGAATGAAATAATGACTAAAATCCATTTTTTTAACATGTACTGCCACTTTTTCTAATTTCGTTTATAAATGTTATGATTATGGTAATAGAACATCTATAACGCTTTTTACTGGTATATCTTTCCAGTACACTCGTCATTTATTCTGAGTTTATAGGACGAAGATACAAAAAAGTAACACAGTTCGAGCTGCGTTTGGAAGATAATTCTGCACAGCATTGGTTCACTTCGTATAGTTTAGCTGCTGAACTACGAATTAGTGTTATAGATGTTGAAAAATGTATATGTTCGAGAAATTTGTGAAGCGTTGTAATTTATAAGGTCAAACCCTAAGGATACATTTTTATTTAATTTAAACATCCTATTCTCCATATTTTCATCCAATTCCCGTCAGTAACGAAATAATTCAATTGAATTTCATGAACGGAACAGCGAGCGACTCACGCGAGTTTTGTCTCAGCAAGTCTAGTGTTGGAAGCTGAAGGTGTCATGGAGGCTTCTGCTTCTTTATTTCACTCATCAGTTTCTTGCGAGCTTTGGCAATCCTGGAAAATTAAGGCAATGTTGCTAATTAACTTTTGGCCCTAACTTGAAAAGTGGCCTGGCAGGGAGAGAGAGAGAGAACGTCGCTCTGATTACGTGCCGTCAGTGCAAGCGAACCTTCGCTCCAAGCGGGGGGGAGGGATGGATGTCCTGGGGGGCAGGGTGGGGTAGGCTATAACATTACCTTTGTGAAATGAAAGTCTGTACTGACCACAGCCAACTCTAAATGTTTCACCTTATGGGCTGGCGCTTGCCAAGCGTATTTGAATTAATATATTTGTGATGTACACAAAGTCAGAGATAATGTTTCCTGAAGATGATGGAGCATTTAAAGGCGTCATACAGTCACCAAATTCTTTAGTGCGTTCTGAAATTGAGATAATTTGATACAACTTTTCTGACTATAAACATTCAAATAAATTAGTAAATTCTGAAAAAAATATGATAAATTTGATTTATTCTTAGAATGCTTCTTCATAGCATCGAGCTACGTCATTAAAATTAGAAGCAACTACTGTTCTTAGTGGTGACGCCTGAACTGATTTATGCTTGATATTGTTTAGCTTGCTCCCAATGAGCATTAGGCAGCATATATTATCTTTGTAATAAGCGATTTTTTTATTTTATTTGGTTCTGTCGAATATTTATATTCTGCTTGCAAGGGCACTCAATGCTTCGGTCATACTAGCAGCCCGAATGATCTAGTGATTTTTAGTCAAATAATAATGTTGCTCGCACGAGGTTTTTTCCTCTGCTTCCTTATGGCATCGCAAGCTCGAATATACTCTGTCTTTCAACATTTCAATCCCGACCGGACGTCGGGCAATATAGACGAATTAAAGATACGGCGAATATAGACGATCTAAAGAGTTAAATAAGTTTAAAAGTTAAATAAAGAGTAAAACGAGCTAAAGAGTCGGGGAATATAGACGAGCTAAAGAGTTAGATAATATAAACTAGCTAAAGAGTCGGGGTATATAGACGAGCTAAAGAGTCGAGGAAGACGAGCTAAAGAACCAAAGAATGTAGATGAGCTAAAGAAGCGGCGAGTATAGACGAGGCAAAGTTGCCGGGTTGTCGTAAAGTGCAATCAGAGGACAGCCGGCGGGGATTTGGAGACGGCGACGTTCACGACAGCGAGGCAACTCTTCAGGCCTCACCCGAAATCCTGAGGAACTTCTCGATGCCATGTTGCTTTACTGATGCACATTATAAGCCGTCATATTTCACTCAGGTGGCACTCGTACTATTTAATTTGCCGTCTCTTGATGGAATTTGATAACGCTTAAAGCGGTGTTTGGATTCCGTGAATGAACCATGCAGTGGATCGTCTACCATGAAGATTATACTACCACGTGCGCTACACATACTTAATTTTTTATGTGATCACTATCTGCGATCACATATTTAGAGTTCTGTTATAATAATGCACCAGAATTTCCAAAAAATAGTATAGCTAAATATATTAAAATTAATGGCGTCTGCCTTTATAATAATATAGTGCGGAATCAAATAATCTTTTACTACTCATGTGTATATACACAAGATCTTTTTTGTGATGCGGTAATTTGAAACGAAAGTCCTAACAACTTAGTGAAAGTTAAAAGCTACATATTTCAAATATACGACCACTTTTTTCTTTAAATTTGATTGACGTAATAGGTAGCACCGTGTAGAGGGTACCTCTTGTCTTTACGATAACTGAGATACACATAATGATTCTTCGATACCAAGTGGTGTATAGAAGTACATGGTAGCGATAATCCCAATGATACATACGTTATCTTCTCATTAGGTGCGCATGTACCTTTCGGTTAAATCGAGAAAATATGCACAAATACATATTTATGGAGCGTTTATGTGACTGAGAGCTACTGAAATATCGTCATTTATGGTCAAAGTAAATATTTAGAGATATATGCAAAAGAAGAAGTGTTATTTAATGACAAAATAATCTCGTCAGAACGTTCTAACGAGCGCTATGTTGGTCTGATTTCGAGTGCGTGACGTTTTGTCTTGATCGAAGGTATTTTTTTGGTCATTGCATAATATAATAGTCATAATATTATGGTTTAACATCATGTTCGTCTTTTTTTATGATTAATATTAGCTGGTTAAATATGGCAAGGAATCTTGCAACGGCAGAGCCTACATAGAAAAAGGTAGACCCGATATAATATATATTACGTATTGCCGAATGAAAAAAATTTCGGGATCTCATCAACAATTATGAATGCTTTTTATCTCTTCAGCTCTGAAATATTTTTATTAATCTATTTCTTTGCGAATGAACTACGTATTACATTCTTTGTTGGATAATGTTCTAAAGCAAGTTAAAGGTTTTGAAACGTTTGATTGAATTTTCTGAAGTCGAAATTTCTGGCAGAAAAAAATTGAATGAAAATATTTCCTTCACTCAAAATTACGATCCGCTGCCTTCAATGTCAGCGTGGCGAATTCATCGCCATTCGAGGAACTTACACTCACGTTTTGCTCGAACAAAATCGATTGGTGCAGTCCGACGCATTGCCCATCCATAATTTAATAGCTCGCTCAATTAGTCTTATTACACGTCGTTAATTGACCATTTGAGCACTTGCAAAATGTGGTAAAAATAACCGTGGAAAAGAGCACACAGTGACGTATATTGCAGTCTTTTTTTATCAGCAACCATTGCGGAAACTCGATACTGAAAAAGCAACTGAAATTCCCATGTTTCTGTGCCAGCCTATCGTGGAAGATCATCTCCAATATCTTAGCAAGGTTATGCCGGATTATGTTGTCTTATGATATGTCACGTTATTATACATTATGTTATTATATGTTGTGGTATAATAAGTCGTGTCAAGTTATGAAATGTATTGTTGTGCAAGTTTGGTGATAAACGAGGATAGTATTATAAATGAGTTGAGAATACACGGCCGGTGTTTGTAGAGTGACTCTTTAGAGTGAATAACATCGGTGGCCAAAAAGGCGTTAAATTCCAGCATGGAAACGAAAACTAAAATTAGGTTAGGTGGATAAATATAATTTATTCAGTTTATTCAACCTGAATAAGAATTTAATAAAAATTTCTTAACAAATTGTTCGGCGAATTTTGTTTTCAACGCTATGTGCTGTTCGTGTTGATAGATATCAACATATTGGTAGGTATTGGTTTTGGAAATGAAAACGAACATCTACTATCTCTTCAAAATGTTCTAAAATATCATCAGGGTGTACCATGAAATAAATGTAATTAAATGCTTAATGGATACTCAAAATACTCGCCTGTAAAGGAGCATTTTCAGCGGTGCGAAACTTATGTATTACTCTATAATATAAAAACGTAAATCTCACTTTAATCCATTTTTCTTTCAGGTCTGGAAATGGCGATCCAGTGGCTTCTCTTCACCGCCCTGGTGCATCTCGCTTTACTGTGAAATAGAATACGTATGTAAGCGCACTTCATTTCAGCTGAAGAGCAATGCGGTGCATTTTAAAGGAATAGCACCACACTTTCGTTTTTAAAATGAACCCAGCAATGTTGTTTAAAAAAATCACTGCGAATGCCGTTCAAAAAAGAGCACCTCGGTGCAGCTTAAAAGATCACTGAGGTGCAGTTCAACTGAAGAGCACCGCGGTGCCGTTCAAAAAAGAGGACCTCGGTGCATCTTAAAAGATAACTGAGGTGCAGCTCAAAAGATCACTGAGGTGCCGTTCAAAAAAGAGCATCCTGGTGCATCTTAAAAGATCACTGAGGTGCAGTTCAAAAAGAGCAGTGTAGCTCAAGTGGAGAACATCGCTAAGTGCAATGGAAGTAGCGCAGTGCAGATTCTTTGGCCGAGTGGTAGTGAGTGGACGCTTGCTGAAAAAAATAATACATCTATACACTTTTTCAGAATTATGCACAATTTAAATTTTTTCACAGCATAATTAACCTACAGACTGGTTCACTTTTACATTGTCTTTACTCCAGATACATAAAATTATAGTTCCTGCAAACATGAGTTGAACAAATCGCCGCTAAAACTGTCGTCATGGTTCAGGGTCAATCTCAAATTTGAGGCTACTCGAAGCTCTACCCCTTAACGATTTTTTATATTTAATTCTTCGTTAATCAAGAATCATTCATCTACACCAGTGATCCCTCGATTTTTTAAATAATTTATTGTTCATAACCGACGTAGTTATAGGTTTACAAGTTACTAAGTTAATTGTATGCAAAAGTTTCGTTACATTTTTATGAGCAAATTTTTGTTAAATTTGGAAATAATTTAAACGACACTAGTGCTTGCCGCAGTATTTTTCGAAAATTTGCGTTCCAATTCGCCTCAGTAACTATTAATCTGTTCTGCCTAATTACCTTAAACTCCTGATTAAAGCGAGCTCGAGTTGCGTCTGTATATATAACCTCAAATATCGCAAGTAATTCAACAGGCATAATTTTTTCTATTTTGATTCTTGAACTGTCGTAAGCTACATGATTATTATTCATTTATTTTCCATAGTTTTTATAAAATGTTAAATCAATTGAGATCCTTTAACCTTGAAACACGAGTAAAAAGTTCTAACTTTAGACTACTCTGCGCGAGTATATGTGAGGTATCGAAATTTTTCACGGATTGAATTCATTTCAGATTAGTTCCATACTACCAAAATTATTTACAAGTTATGTTATTCCAGGAATATTATCACGTGCATGCGCGTTAGTTGTGCCATTACAAACATTCTGATGATCCTGCCGCAGCAATTTTTTTGTTACCATGGCAACATATTTTGACGACGCCATACTGTGCAGGAGAGAAACAAGTAATTTAGGCTGCTAATTGTTATTGTTTAAAAAGCTTCTTAATCTGCACATGCAGTCCAAAAAGTTGCAGAATGTGTCAATTTCCTCAAAAAAATGACAGGCGTTCAATTAATTGCATGTGTAGTGGATTCTCGAATATATTACTAATATGAATTCAATTGTATTTTATCTCCATGATATCGAAGCGATGGTTGTAGTTTGTGTTATGCAATTTGTTGATGAAAATGGCTGGTAATAATTTAATTGAATTTAATCTTTTATTAGATATTTTTAATTTCACGTCAAGGATGTTTTTGACTGTACATTTACAAAGTTTACGACAATAATGAGCAGGTATAAATATATATAGTAGCAATGAGCAGAATGTACATAGATCTACGATCGAATAAGTCTAACATTGATTGCAGCTTATCTTATACAGGTTAATCTTTGAGCTTAAGTGAACCTTGTGTGACCCTAGCCTATGATAAAACCTTCGCGTTAGTCAAGACCTAGTCAAAATATTGCCTCGGTCAGCACCTTCTCTAAATAGTGCATCTGACGCTTTCAAGCCCATAAGGGACAAAGAAGACTCCAAATTTACTGCTTAACATTTCAAATCCTCACTCTACCTCCATATTGGATTGATAATTAATCTTACAATACAGAAATAAATTATTATACACAGTTCAAAATGTCCTTCCCATATTACATACTATTCGTGACAAATCTCAGCTCCGCAGCTCAGTACGTGGTAAAAGCTCATACAATCAGAGCTGGGCATGTGTGCGTTCTATTATAAGAACTAAATAATTAAATATTTCCGCATAATCGAGCAAAAAATTATCCCTATCTGAAAAAAATCCACTGATATTTTATTCATCATCCAAATATACATGCTAGGCACACTAAGTTCTGCCATGCCTAGAGTTACGACAGCCAACTGCGTGTCGGCCATCCGATGTCAGACGGAGGACATGCTTACATTACAGTGTATGTTATCCCAAAGTGAGTAATCTTAAGTCTGTCTGTGCGTGTCAAAAATTGTGTTACACAGGACAGGTGATGTAACAAATTTCCATACACTGAGTCCGATGCTGTAGAAACATCGGTCATCCCGTATGATAATCGGCCACTGAGCGTCTAATCACCATTATGTTAATCATGAATATCGTAAATAGTAACTTAAAAGAGTATGTACATAAAACCATCGTAGAAAATATGTGTTATACCTTGTCATCGTTTGTTTACTGGATGGTTTTATGATTTCTCATCCACTTAGTAAAAAAATAATACTAAATAGCATTTGGTTGTCAAACCAGTAAGGTATCGATCGAACTATAAAAGCGTTCATAGAGACTACTTTGTAGCTAGTACTACAATTTCGTTCAATTCTATTGCTATCCAGAGGGAACTAATCTGTATCATCACTTAAACTTATCACAATACCCTTTATACGATCTATTTGTGAGCATTTCTTGATTTATAGTTATTTGTGACAAGTATTTTATTGCAGTGTTGATCTCAATAAATCGCAACTTATTGGAAATTAACTTTTTAGTTAGCTGAATTCCAACAACGAAATGATTGAACTAAACTGTTTTTCAATATGCAGTATAACGTTCATTACTACATTTTTACCGAATGAATTCTAATATCCACGCACTGACATCTTTCTTATTTATTCGTTGTGTGTCACCAAATTTACTTCATTCAACAAACGTGAATGGTTTCCAAACTATCGTACGCGTACTACGTGTAGCCTGGTGGTAAGCCAACTATTTCGAGGTCCTAAGGTCTTGGTCCAAAATCAAAATTTTTGGGTTTTCCGGTTTTTATGCTCATCTGAAAGCTTACTTTCTGCCGCATCGAACGGTGCTAGAACCATCTCTGTACGTTGATTTATGCGTTCACGACAGATCCCGAAAGTGATCTGTCCCTTCGATCTGTTCACGAAAGTGATCTGTCTGTCCCCACTGGTGTGGTCCCTTCACTATAGTCAAGGGGGATAATTCAGTCCAGGCACTATTTAGTGTCCTATTACTGGACCTGCAGCTGAGTTACCAAGAAGCCAGCTTGCGGATAGGTGTTGATGCAGTTGTCCTCTGCACTGCTGACTGACTTTGAAGTGAGCTAACGCTTAATTTCGGTATCTATAAGCTACGTTACATGCCTTCACATAGCGCGCGCGCCGCCAGTCGCCAGTTTTTGCCTCTACTGAAAACCTCCTACCTGTCTCATGGAAAACCTACCTGTCTCATCTCTCCTATGATCAAGCTACAGCAATGAGAGATATTACCATTCAATTGGTAAATTCAAGCTCTACAAAATGTTTTTTGTAATTTTTTTATTTCGGTATAGTTTGGATTAAATTTTGCAATAAGGGGGGGGGGCGGAGGGGGGATTCGAAAAAATGACAAAAATCCCCCCCCCCACCCACAAAAATCAAAATTTGGGAAAACGAGAAAGATCATTTTTTAGATATGGTTTTTATAATTCGAATTATATGGCCCCCATTTGCCCAACGTGTTAACAGTAAACTTGTTAACTTGTTTATGGCACTTTTAATTAGCATATTGAGTATGTTTTCAACAATAAAATGCCCCTAATGCTACATATTTGGGGCTAATGTGAAGTATTTGGGGGACGCGTTGGGCAACTGGTGAAATGCAGTGACTGTACGGAGCCTACAAATGGTACGCGACGACAAAATGTCAAATCGAACATACGAAGGTGAAGAGAAAAATTTGATAGTCGATTTATGCTTTGTTTCGGGTGCAGTTTCTTCAAACTTGCCTCTTTAAATGAATAGATGATAACAAAAAAGTGAAAATTATGAGATAATATTGGCCTATCATTATGAAAAAAAGTACAAGAATTACATTTTTGAGCTTCGAACGAGTTCGACGTTGGAGATCAGCAACTAGTCAGTTTTGGTGCAAAGTAGCTTTGGTCAGTTTGGTTTAAGTCAGTTTGATTTAAGAGCTTACGTGTTTGAGTGTGGGTGTAAGGCAAGACGAGCACACGCTTCATCCCTGCACGCCTTATGTTAGTAGTAATGCAGATAGCTGGTATAGGGTAGTTTGTAAGCTCCTTGTCAAGGTACAGTCTGCTCATCGGTCATGGGAGTTTTACAAATTTACGACTTGATGTTCCTTGTCGCTGCAATGTCGACTCTACGTTTACAGCGAGTGAAGACAATAAATAAATTTCAGGTGGCGTGTAATACGAGTTTTTAGGGTAGAAATAGTTATATAAACTCATATTTTATGATAGGTATTTTCCCTTGTGATGCCAAAGCAAAGAAATGAGGAATTAACTAGTATATTTGAGACGAGCAAGGTTCAATAATTTCCGCTCTCATTATGTCAGTGGGATCGATTTGAAAAATTAAATGATATTGAGCATTAACACGAACAGATAACGGGAGAACACATAAAATTTATAGCAATCAATTTCTTGTACTCCAAAAAAATAATAGGCAAGCCCTTGGCTATTATTTCTTTTACGCAGTTGAGCATATAATATATTTGTTATATCATTATAATACCAAGCTCTGTACTCAATGCGTGAATTAATATTATTAATTATAGAGTTCAAGCTTTTCCTCTCACGATGTCTTAATCATGAAAGTCTTAATTGAGTTCTTAGCATCACGTGCCCTGCCAGACTGACATCACATGCCCTGCCAAGCTGGATATCAGTTTGAAATTTGTTTGAATTTGCAGAAAATTTGTAGAAAATATAACACCATAACGACAGATTAATAATATTAGTCCTTTTAGAGAGGAACCGGAACTTATAAATTCAAAAATTATAAAAATGCTACAATATTCCGAAGTCTGTTCAAGCATTGAAGAATATGAATTACTGCAGTCAAGCTGTGTCAATCGTATCATTTTCGTCGTCTATTTTTTTGCCTTCTCATAATTAAAATCGGTTGCATTTTTTGCAGAAGCGCGTTAGGTTGTGCATGAAATGCAACGAAGAATAATCTCGTCTCGACTTATCGGTTTCAACTCAAGTCTATCGCAATTAATGTTCTTCGTTCCTAAACTAACGATCACCGAAAATAGCTTAACTACGAATCACTGAACTTTTTGTTCGACCATTGATATTACAGGGAAAAAGGGATAATTTTAATGATGCTTTATGGGCTTGAAAAATTCACTTAGTTCCTTTGCATTAAAACTAGCTGGCAACCTGTCATCATGCAGTGTGACCAATAAAATTGTACCATAAAATTTATAATATCCAAGGTATTTTCATGAGCCAAGGGAAATAATATTCGTTAGAATTTGATAGACATTCTCGTACATGGGAAACTGAACAGTTTGTTGTTCTTTAATTAAAGACAGTTGGACTTTTTGAATATTTTCTCATTTATATGAAAATTTATTGTTTAGAAAATTGTCCCCGAGCTCGACGCTTTGTTTAGTGTTTCATTTGATGTCGTATAGATACTAATTCATTATCTTTTGATTGTCCTGCTGGAAGCTTATCCTCCTGATAAGGTATATGCGCCCTTTAAAACCGTGTATCGACATAAGCATTACACATGTAATTCACTGGAGTATTTTTTATCCTCAATCAAATATTAATACGAAATGACATTATATAACAACAATGAAGGGATATCCACATTAAGGAATGTGGAGAGAATACGCGCCTAAATTAAACTCTTGCTTCTTCAATCGTCAAACTTAATGGTTGAATCAGCCTAAAGATATTACACAAATCGGCCACTGATATTCCACACTTCAAGCTTCAGAACAGAATAAATTTTTCCAAGGAAGCAATTCGACAAATGAGGTACCACGCATTCAAAACAGACAATAAATCAGAGGCACGTTCAAGATGATGCATGCCGCTTATTGAAAAATCTCAATTTTACAGATTGTATTCGCTTTGCAGTTTTTACGAGCAAAACTCCCCTCAAGACTCGAGTTCCGAGTCAGGACCAGCAGCGAGAACTCAATGGCGTCTGATGGTAATGTCAGCCAACGGCGTCTGCGGCGCATGTCGATCGTGTAGCGCCGTTCATGGTCCACAATAATAATAAATTATTGACGATTCTGGACGAGGTTGCAACCACGCTGATCGTCGAGGGTAGCCTTGAAGGAGTCCCAAGCACACGAGTTCGTATCAAAACATCGGTCCCCGGGAAACTTCTATGGAACTTTTCAAGTCCTTACGCGGTGAACTGCGTTCGCCTCTCAGCGCCCACAGGGCATGTTCCTGTGCATCAACTCTGGGAAATCTTAACATAGGTAATGCACTTAAGGGGGAAACGTCAAATTGTTGACCTATATTTATTGATTACCCAAGGCATGTTAATTTTCTCATCTGTATCTGATATGGGAACGAAATATATGCAAATTATTCAACTATCGGAATCATTTGCGTCCCCTTCCCCAAAACCTCCTCCGTCAAACCCCAGCCCCTCCCCAGACCCCTGATTCCCCAAATTCTCCACGAGGAGACCCCGCCTCAGCTAGGTTAAAAAAGTGGCCTGGAAATTCATAAAAATCGTGTCATCGTGGCTGGTCTCTGAATAGCGATGAGGCGGTGGGGCTGAAGGATGGTGGTGGGGGAGGAGGGCCACACGCGAGGGGGGGGGGCAAGTAGGGCCTGCAAGCCGGATAACCTGGGGCCATATACTGACGCGAATAATGTGGGTTTCTTTCCTAACGACTCAATCAATTATTAAATTCAGCTTGTCGAATAAAGCCTTCTGCTCGAAAAGAAGCCTGTTTCTCATGATTAATCTAGAAAAACGACATCCGGTAATTTTTCACGATAAGATGAGATTTTCTCGCTCTGTAAAAAATCAATGCTTAACATTCGTCACTAATAAACCGGCCATGGAAGTTTGAATTCTTGGCTGGAAATTGAATCTTCAACTTTATCAATTGATTACTTCAACTACGAAACCTTGCAAGTATTTAAACAATATAACAATCACTAGTTTTTGTATGCTCTTGATGTTATAAACAAATGAGTTGCGCATTGCATATTTACAGTATAGGGCATAATTAAAATCAATATTATTGAACTGCCCGATTTTAAAAATCACACCTAGGTAAAAAGTACTCAAGTTACCCATAAAGTGACTAGCCTATTTGACAAACCTACAGAACATTTATTTGTAGAGCTGGCAATCTGAGGGCAAATCAGGACCAGGGATAAGCAAGGAGCGAGGACTGCTTTAGCTGCAGCCCTCGCCTCTAACGATGCAAATGAAGACGGCAACAGGAATTGTGTTCCGTAGCGTCTTGCTTTCCCGTTTGCTTTGCGCTGAGTCTTACCCAGGGCCTTTTATTCAGTCATTTTGTCGACCCATTCTGTTTTGTTCTTTCTTATGTCGCAGGATGAAAAATATTTTAGAGGGGCAAATATACATGAAAAATGTTGTTCGACTTTGCCGTAACAATTGCAATTGCAACTAATCACTGGGAAATTTGCAGAAAAATGCTAGTAATTAACCTTGTGAATGAAATTTAAAAGCCCACATTCCATTCAGTAATTTATCAGATCGTCCGACAATTTCAAGGGCAACATCAATCGACTCGATCTGAACACTTTCTAAGTACAGTTCAGAGAATGAGCGGTTGGCATTCATAAACACTTGCAGAATTCATTGGCCAAGATTTTTAAAGGCACTAATACTGAAACACTTGGGAGTTTTAAAGAGATGTTTAATATTATTATGTCAATGCAATATTGGATAAGATAGATTGCAAATAATTTATTTTCGTTATTTTATGAAATAATAGACGGCAACTTTAACGATGGGATCTCACACGTGCACGGATGTCAATGAATGTCTGAAATTGTAATTAATTGCTTAGACATACTTTTTCTTATCGTGAACGGATGAGGAAAAAATGTGTTGAAATAACTATATTTTCAATGACTACCGCGAATACAAAAACGAACACACAGCACAACCTATGGCGCTGTTATGAACGGTCGGAAGCATTGGAAGAACACGAAAAAATCAAAAGGTTTTGCTTAACGTTCATTATTATCGATACTTTCTGCATTTTCCTACCCCAAAAAAGTGAGATTTAGTTCATTGCGTAAGTACCAGTCAAGTTGTCATCGAATAAGTGATGTGTACAGAAATATTAAAAATCCGGAATAGGAATAACCATTTAGCAGAGGTACAAGCATATTTCTTAGCATCACGTGGTTCGTGTTATGAAGAAAAGAATATGAGGTTGCCAACAGATATTTTTTTAGTGCCTGTGGAGCCGCGGCCATTGTGCGGATTGTCGGAGCCGCTACATCGTGATGGATTGCTTGTTGCTGGCCTGCTGAATAACTGGAATATACGTCACTTACGATTCAAATTATTTCAAGTTATTTGATCTTAAATAATGAATAAAATATAGAACGCAATTTTTGTATTATATCTTCAAGTATCACCTTTTGTACACTCAATACAATATTCATTTTTTTAATCCCTACGAAATTTCACCTGCTTATAATCCGTTTTGCTATTGTTTTTTTTTTATTCAAGCTCAAATCGTAGAATAACGCGGTTTCTCTGTCGTTTTCTGCACGCATTTCTAGTTTCACTTCTTCTCCCTGAAAGACATCCCCCCACACCGCGCATCACGGACGGAAGCTTTGGCTCGCCGTCCTTCCGGTCTGACGGAATTTATCCATACTTTAGTGAGCAATCTCGGCTCTCTCCTTCCTATCAAGTGCTTCTCTTCCTTCCTAGCTCGCTTGTCCCTACCAATACCTACGCCTCTAATGTCTCTGTCCCACCGCAGACAATTTCAAATTTGTGTTAGTCGTGAAATGTTATTGTTAGTAAATCTATGACTCGGTATATATAAGCTATTTTAAAAAGTTTTATATTGTCAAACGATTGTGAATTTTACGAAATTTCGTGAGTTGAGCTAGGTAACTCACACTCGATTGCTGTTTTCGACTATCCGTTAAGCTGAATCATCACGCACAGTGATTACAGGCAGCTTTAAATTCTATACTTCATGAATGGTTCAGTGCTCCAAAGTAAACAAAAAATATATCGTAAGTACTGAGAAAATCTAAAAATTTTGCAATTCCGCACAAACAGTTATAACTGCGTTTAATTCTATAAGCGATTGCACAGAGCACAATATTTCTTTCAATAATAAAGTGCTATATGCATCAGAAGGTATTAGTCATGAGAGTTCTGATCACTATACTTCATGACAAACATCGCATGTCGCTGTCGTTGCGGTACAGCCACGGCCACAAGTCTCGCTGCTCACATCACAGGCCAAAAGTTTTGTTTGCGTTGGCCAAGTTTTGCTCGCTGATGTCAATGAAGAGACGACCTCTGAACAAGTGATGAGAGCTGCTTGCCAGGACCTTAAATTCTTCCGGTGCTGCCATCGAAACAGAAAGGCCCGCTCGGGATCTCTCCGGTCCACTTTAGTGAACAGTAGTAAATTTTTGAGTCGCTTTTAGAAAAAAATAATAGAATTATCAATTGATTATACTTCAGTGCAGAATATCTAGCATGTAATGCGTGATGCACAACTTTTTTTTATAACTAAAAAAATAACACAACTTTAAAGTGTAATGCACCTCATAAATATTTGGGCCACAGTTTATTCCACAAAACACTACGGGATTTACTACTGAAATTTAACTTACTTTTCCTTCCACCTAGAGCTAACACCCAGTACATTGACACAAACAAAATATGGAGAAAGATTCAGTCAAACAGTGAATTTTTAATTATAAACAGACATAAGGCCAATAATTTTCTAATTGTGAAATTAAGGTATGCAATTTTGAGACTTTGGATAACAGTTAATATATTAACGCATATCCAAATTTAGGTACTAAAATAGATATTACAATATTTTAAAATTATTCTGATATCCATGGAAACTTTTCAATTATTTTATTGAAAAACTACGTAAACTTAGTGAAAAGTAAACTTGAAGTTATAGTTATTTTACGGGAAAATATTGGTATATAGTAATACCCACAGCGTTAAGTCGACACTAACCCATACCAGGTGAATCGCAGACTACATAAACGGTTGAATTCTCGGTCAAATTACTTGATTTAGGGCACAAAATTACGTAAAAATAATAGAGTAAATCTGACAACGAAAGAATTTCGATACAGACTAACGTCAACTAGTGACGGATTAGCGGAACAGCAATGTTTGTCTACAAAAGTCACGTGGGTAGCTGCAACAAAAGTATTTCCCATCTGATTCAGAGTCACGGTAATGCCAAAATTTTATGTCGAGTTGAGATACGTCCAACTTACGAGTGACCAATGGACAATAAATTCTGTTTCTACTGATTTGGCTGAATTCGTCAAATTCATAGTGAAACTAATTTTCTAAGCGAGTTTCTATTTCCATTTCACGACTCATATGCCTCAGAACAACTTACGTCAATCCATTGGTTTACGTGCATATATACTTCATATACGTTGACTAAGCTATTTCTCAACATTATTGACATGCGAACTTTGTGTGCAGTTGTAATTGGTACGCCATTCCTATATACACTAGTGAATAGATATTATGATCAAATTTCATAATTTGATGAGATCGTATCAGCGATTTCGCCAACCTATCATTTGATGGAATCTTACGAATCGTCGACCCGAATATTGTACGATTTTTCAGACGCTATTATAAACTACGTAGAATCATGCAATGAATTTTGTAAACCCAAATGACATATTTTCTAATCAAACATGTCTCAATGAAAGGGTAAACCCTGAATATGTGCATGTACGAAATTATATACTTATATGAGTTCACTTCACGCCATAGGTTCACTCATGGATCCGTATAGGGAACGATATGTGTCGATGATTTCCCTTCACTACATAGCTACACTCACGGATCCATAAAAGGAATATATGTCAATGATTTCACGTCACTGCATAGCTACACTCACGAATCCGTATAAGGAATATGTTTCAATGATTTCCCTTCACTACATAGCTACACTCACGGATCCGTATAAGGAATATATGTCAATGATTTCCCTTCACTACATAGCTACATTCACGGATCCGTATAAGGAATATGTGTCAATGANAGAGACAATAGCTACACTCACGGATCCGTATAAGGAATATATGTCAATGATTTCCCTTCACTACATAGCTACATTCACGGATCCGTATAAGGAATATGTGTCAATGATTTCACTTCACTACATAGCTACACTCACAAATCCCTATAAGGAATCACATATATCAATGAGTTCCTGAAGCTTATGTATATAGACGCGCATGCTTGTACACGAATTAGTCGATGAGGTCGTCACTGTCACGACGCTGCCCAGAGGCGCGATTTTTTGCGCCGTCACGTGTCATGTGCCATAAGCGGCGCTCACAAACTTTAATCGGATGCCAAGTTCCTTAAAGTGTTTTGATAAGTAATTAGCTGAAACATCGAGGCCCGAACTCTCCACTGCCTTCGCCATCGATCGTACGACTCTAAAACTATAAACTTATCGGCAGCGAGAGGTCAGACTCTTCCTTATGAATTGAGCATTTCACAATCTGACAAAGGCGATCACTAAACTGAATTTTTATAAGATTTGACTAAAAATAAGCAATAAATGTGGCTTTGACAGACAGAACCTTTTTATACCTGAGTAGAAAGTTGATGTATATGGGCAAGGACATCATTAACTATTTATTAAAAAGCTTGACTAAATAAAAAAATCCACTAGCGCTCATTGGTAGTATTTTGAATTATATAAAGCATAATTGATAACGATAGTAATGTTCGATCTCGGTAATTTTCTCTGAGACCACAGAAGCACGACATTATCAAAGCATCATAATTTTGAAGGGCAGATACATCTGCCAAGCTTATTCTATTGCAACATCTAGCTCAATTCGTTGAAGTTATTTGAAGAAAAAAATTGAAATGCATTTTTAATTTGAAGGGTTATAAAAATTTGACCGAAATACATAGAGCTGGTAATGGGTATGAGAACATTAATTCAAATGCTATGTATAAAAAATTCAACACTATGTGTGCGGGAATATGGCTAACACTTTAAATAAAATTAGAGAAAAAAATCATAAAATTGTTTAAATAAAGGGGTTTCCACTACGTAGCGTTGAATAATTTTATTCACTTTTAGAGTGGTCATCATTTTTTTGTGGATCCGACAAATTTGAAAAAATTATGTGACGCGGATAGCAATCAGCTGTTGAAGAATGTTAGGGTGACGTCGATTAGAAGAAAAGAAGAAAAAGTCATTAAAAGCGTTCATTCTAGTTGTATTCAATTGTCTATTTTTTTATATCTTTTGTCATAATTTTGCTTACAAATAAAAAATACCTTTTTTCGATCGTTATGGAGTGGTTTTCGGGTAACATTCCCGAAGCAATATTGCTATCCAAGACTAAAAATGCCGTATTTGTGGTTTTCATCACAGGTATGCTATATCAGTATGTGCTACTGCTGCATAATAATAATGTGCAGAAAGCTCAAGTATAAACAGTACAAAATATAAATTTCATAGAACTGAAATATTATTAAAATACCATCAATCCTTCTGAAGTTCTGCGGACTGCCTGCCTGCCTGGTGCCTGGTGCCTGCCGCTTGCCCTACACACAATTTAATTCATGTTATATTACTTATATTATTATATAACACTTGGAATTTTGGAAACATTTGAAATCATAAAATTTTGTCATACATTATTTAATTTAAACCTTACTAGCTACATTTGAATTATCCATTCTGGGAGATTTGGCAGAAGCTACCCATGAATCATTGAATGAGATGCCCATGCATGTGATGATGTGATCAATCATCAATTTAGCTGGTTTTTATGCTTCAGCACTGAGCACTCAGTCAATGCCAATAGCTGAATAACCTAATGTCAACAATGTGTACTGTGTACTGAGTGTGTAGCAGTGAAGGTCACTGGTCACCACTCCACTATGCAGAGGGTGCCAGACTGGAATAATGGGCAGGAGTCACCCGTACAAGAGCAAAAACCACCCGTCAACGAGGGTCAATTGTACCCGTGGCCATGGATAATTTCACCCGTAGCCAATGGCCATGGTTTTCTTCACCCGTGGCCATATATAAATTTAACCGCGCCCGTAGAGCTACAATTTCAACAGTAATGGCCAAAAGCCCTTAAACAGCACATCGCCAGAAAAAATTCATTACATGTAAGGCTGTACTGAATTCGTCGTACCTTCGTTCACAGATAAAGTCACTCACTACACTCAACAAATGCAAGCATCTGTTGCCGTTTTGGTGGAGATTTTCGAGAAGCACCCGGGAGGACGAAAATTGCACCCGCGATTTTACAACTTCACCCTTGAAGAGCCTCTTTTTACCCGCGGTATTCTAAAAAATCTGCCCATTATTCCTGTCTGGAGAGGGTGGATGCAGTGTCGCCAATATATGGATTTTTAAGCCCAAAGCGTCGCCGGCCATTTTAAAGATGTGTCGCTGGGTAATTTTTAATGAAAAGCCATTTACGCTGAGTAATGACGAACTATTTACAAGCCACGAACTTAGTTACAAGGTTGCATGCACGTGTTACCCCAAATAACTAATTTTACCCTAAAAACAGTCCGATTGTACAGCAAGTGTCAACTGAACATGTAAATAAAGCAGTCTGACCGCTCTAATGTGACCGAAACTACGCAATCGAAAAAACGTTGTTTACATTTTTTGCGGGAACTCATCACAACTGATTTCCGGACAAGCTTCGCTGCATCGTATTCCATCCAACGCACCGGAAACCTTACTTTTTTTCTAAATAGTTGGCCGAAGACTGAGAAATATATTAAATGCAAAAATTTCAATCTAAATGTGTCGGCAAGATCTTCTGAAGGCGAAAATTTGGCTACTGAAGCGTCGCCAAAGATCTTGAAATATTCATCCACTCTCTGCACAGTGGTACACCACTCAGGCACTACCAGTCACCATTTGGCCAAAACCTCATATATATATACCTAACCTTATCATAATCATGCTTAGTATGTATCACCAAAATCATATATTACTGATCAGTGATCAGAACTATGATATGTTAGCTTCAATAGCTATATACTAGGTAATCACTAAGAAGTTTTTCATTAATGCTAGAAAGATGTTCAGTTTTATTTCAAAAATAGTTTGTTTCTTTTGAAGGCTGGCAACTTAGGTGCTATTGTTATATTATCACTTTATCAGCATTAACAATTATTTTTTTTTATTGCAAGAAGTAACAATTTTTGCCTCCAAATCTGAAAAGTTATCCATAAACAATTGTTCTTACTACTTACTTCTTACCCAGGATTCTTGGACAGTTTTACCAATATTACAATTTGGCTGATCCAGAATGATCAAGCTTTATATTTTAAGGTTTTCAGGCACAGTGGTGAAGATGATTGGTGTATGAATTTAAATAAGATTTTCAGCCAGATCAGGGAACCAAATAGTATGAGAATCTAAAAATCTTATGTTTGCCACTATGGTAGTACTCATAGCCTCATAGGATGTGAAAAGAAAGAGTCTGAAAGGAAGAGTTGTTTTGCATCTATTTTTGTATAAAAAATAATGTAGCATTGCAATGTGTGTAATCAAAGAGTTTTATGGTTTCATGAAAATTGTGTACTCACATGTGCCTATATACCGTCAACCAGGGCTACTCGGGATGGGCGGGGTAACTTGGGAGTTGGAACATTCCTCCAACACAGCGTAAAACTGTTTTATTAGCAAAACTAATTGGAATATTGCAAAACTAAATATAGCGGTGTAAACATCAACATTTTTCCTATCTATGTAGTATAAAGGAAGTTCAAAAATACTACATTTACTAGCTTTGAAAAATTAAAAAAAAATGGTGAAGAACAATATTTTGAAAAGTTACTTCTGCTAAGGTCTGTAGTAAAAAAAATATTTAAATATTAAATATTAAAAAATTATGCTTAGAAAAAAGTGGCAGACAAGTGTCAGCATGAAAACTTTATTTGCGGAATTTACATACCTCAATCCAAAAGAAAATGGCGGCCATTTCCGCATGGCGGGGCTACTCGGGACACCCCCAAAAACGCATTTACAGTAGAACCTTAGTTAGCAAAGGCTCCAGTTGAAAAAAAATGATTAAAAACAAAGAATATTGATTACATTTACCTTGCTCAGCGAAAAAAGTTTCACTTATCAAAAAATTAGTGCATCATTGGTCATCACAAAATTGTGCATAGAATGTCATATACCGTCAACCGGGGCTACTTGGGACGGGCGGGATAACTCAGGACAGTACTCCAACACAGCGTAAAACTGTTTTAGTAGCAAAACTAATTGGAATATTGCAAAACCAAATATAGTGACGTAAACATCAACATTTTTCCTATCTATGTAGTACAAAGGAAGTTCAAAAATACTACATTCACTAGCTCTGAAAAAAATGGTGAAAAACAATATTTTGAAAAGTTACTAATGCTAAGGTCTGTAGTAAAAAAAATATTCACCGTAATAAAAAAATTTTACCTACATAAAGGTTGCACCCAGGTGTCAGCTTGAAGACGTAATTGACAGATTTTGCCTATCTCATTCCAAAAAAAATGGCGGTCATTTCCGCACGGCGGGGCTATTCGGGACACCCCCAAAAGCACATTTACAGTAGAACCTCAGTTAGCAAAGGCTCCAGTTAAGAAAAAAATTGATTTAAAACAAAGAATATTGATTACATTTACCTTGCTGAGCAAAAAAAGTTCTTTTATCAAAAAATTAGCGCATCATCGGTCATCACAAAATTGTGCATAGATGTCATATTTAGAATTGTGCACCAGGCATCATAGAATGAAAAGTAATTGACCTAAACTATGATTTATTTCTCCAAAACATATGATGATTGTCACTAAAACATTCCTTTCTGTTTCAGGTATGTTTTTCACAATCTTTTTTTATAGCAAATTTTCTTAACCCAATTAAAATGATGTGAAATTACAAGCCGTCCTGTAAGCTTACAGATACAGAAAAAATGCTGTAAGGCTGCTGATATGAAGCTTGCAGTGGACAAGGTTGTTGTAAATGCTCAATGGCATGTTCATGGATACGGTAATATCGCATCAATAATACGGTAATATCACATCAATAATATGGTAATTAATGTATATGGTAATATCATATAAATAAAGGAAAAACAAGTAAAAATCACAGAAAATGTCATTTATTCTACCTCTACATCATATACAATGAAAGAGGAGGACTTCAGAGTACTGGTAGTAATGGATGAGTACACTCTGCATGCTTCAAATGTTTTAAAATGAAGTTTTATTCCAAGTGTCCTGAGTAGCCCTGTTTGACAGGGCTACTTGGGACACTCTTTTTTTGCTTCTGGCACCTTACAAATAGTATATGGAATTTTTTTGGAGAAGCCATGTGATAGCCCTTGCAAAGAGCCTTGAAATGAGCCTAAACTTGTTTATGAAATGTTTCATGGTAAGAAGTTATGAATGAAAAACGTTCGAAATTGTCCCGAGTAGCCCCGGTTGGCGGTATATACAAAAAACTTTATTGAACTTCTTAATCCATTCTATAAACAATAAATTTTGTTCATAGTGTTTGAAAAATAATTGGATTCAACTTTTAATGAACTCTATATTAGCCTTCTAATATTACTTTTTTTTCCAGATGGTAGTGAAGCTTCTGCAACAACTGAAGCCAGTATTGGGGGTGCGGGTGATGAGCTCAAGAAAAATTTCATTGCCATAAAGCTGAGCAGTGACTCTGATGAAGCCAAGCAGTTCAATCAGATCTGTATCCTTTCCAGGTTTATTAAATTCTTTATTTTTACATTGACAATATTTTTACAAATCAATTGAGTGTTGTAATCTTCTACCTTATAGTTTAGGAAAATATATAATAGACTATCCACTTTTCATGCAAAAAAAATGAGGACTTTAACTTATAAATGGCAACATTGATATAATATTTTGTTCAATATTTCAAATTTCTCTTTAACAAATTAAAATTATAATTGCTAATTTTAATTGAAATTTAAAATAATTTTAAATTAAACTCACAGATAATTTAAACCTGTAGCATACAACCAGTCTTGATCTTTTTTTGTTGAATATTCTAATTAATATGATGTATAATTGATCATGAATAACTACTATGGGGTCAGAATGTAAATTTGCTGCTTTATCTTCTTCCTTGCAAGATCTATAAAATTCTCATTCTTGAAATATTTGTATGATTATTATTATAGAAATCAACTTCTTACATGATAATAACCACTTCAACTCCAGTTATATATATTCCTTCTATTGGAAGGAAATAAGTTGTCTTTAGTTTTCCTTGATGAAAGTCTCTAACAGATCCCATTGTAGTGCTACCATCCTTGTACTTCATAAATCCCAATAATGGAGTGCCAGTGGAGATCTTAGCAGGAGCTGTCACTGCAGGAAGCCTCATGGCCAAGCTCCCAGCCATAATGAAGGATTGCTTCCAGCAGAGCACTGTGAGTGGCACTTTGTGTTATAATTATCTGGTAGACAACACTACACTAACTGATTTACAGTATTAATATTTCTCTGCATTCTACCATGTAATTTGAACAGTCTTTATAGTTATAATAATCATGATGTTATTAGATTGCGTTCCAACCCGCTGAAAGCTTCAGTCCAAATTTTTGGGTTATTCAGTCTTCTTCTTTGTAATGTTTTGTTGTGGTACATCCTGAAAGGGTTGGTATTGGTAATTTTTTGTAGACATTGAACATAACACCATAAATTCCAGCTATTTCTCCAGTACTTCATAAATTTTGAGTGCTGTTCTTTAAATGTACATCATAGGTAGAAAAATTAAAATTTGTTTTTTCAATTCGTTGGTATTGTTAGATAATTCTAAAAAGATGTAGAATCCTGGGCTTGACCAATTAACTTTGCTGTTTTTTCCAAAGTTTAATTCTAATGCTACTCCTAAGTATATAATGCAGTTTGGAAGAAGTGTTATACTACCTATATAACCCCTCAGGGGGACTTCTGACACATGGCTGTGTGCGTCAGAAGTCCTATGGCATTTTGCGCTCCTAAGGGGATTGTTCTTGAGCGCCCCACTGCTGAGCTCGCGGTGTCTGACTTGCGGTCTCAGTTGTGGGGTTAAGTTATTATGTAGGTAGGTTACCTTACATTAAGTTATTATGTAGGTAGGATTCCTTCAATTTTCTTCTCTGTCTCTCTCATACGGGAGGCCGACGTCCCGTGTAAGCAACCTCTTGTTCAAGTGTCTTAGTTTCTGTTGTTTTTCACCTGTCCCTCCTTGTCACTTCATCTCTTTGAGATGCTAACGCTGCTTCTTTTGAGTCAGCTTCAGCAGGCTGGACATCTGAGACCTGCCCCTTGTGGGTGATGATTAACTTGAGATTTTGAATAATTGAGACCTTCCGCCTTGCTGGCAATGTTATATTTCGACCTCCGATGCGAAATAGCTTGATAGCTGAAGCGCTAGTAAACCATCATACTATTACTACTACTTATACTATATAACCAATAAATAAAATTGATGTTAAGTGTTATTTCTAGTTTTGAAATGAAAAAGCTTCCAATGTTTGCAGACTGAGGCCTCTAGTCAAAGCTCTGACATGCTCCCAGAAGATCATGCTGAATCTTCCTCAGCATCTGATGGAATCAGCTTTGAGAATACTTCTGTGGAGCCAACTTCTGTAAACATTCCTCCATTATCAACGTCCACTGCTGCGTCATTGCAATCTGCTTCAGCCTCTATCACCGTATCTGCTCATACCTCTGCACCTGTCCCTATGTCTGCAACTGCTCTCACTTCTGCCCCTGCTCCTACTTCTGCACCTGCTCCTACTTCAGCACCTGCTCCTACTTTTGCGCCTGCCCCTACGTCTGCACCTGCTCCTACTTCTGCACCTGCTTCTGCACCTGCTTCTGCACCTGCTCCCACTTCTGCACTTGCTGCTACTTCTGCACCATCACTATCTGAGTCAACATCTTTTTCTTTTATTGAATCATCCTCTTCTGAAGAAACGACCTCAGCTCCATCCGATAATACGAACAATAGCGCTGGAGCACCGCTAGAAGATGCCAGTCTGCAGTCCAGAGATGGTGCTGGGTCGCCTGACCTGTCACTTGATGAGCGCGTGGCCCGCGCCAGAAAACTTGCCGAGTTGAAGAGGCAACAGCGTGACCAGGAACAATTCCAGAAAGAGCATGAAAATGAGATTAGCCGACGCCAACTAGGCAAGTCTATGCATCGTATCAAACAAGAACAGGAAGAAAAGGAAATGCGAGATCTGGCTGCTGAAAGGAAGCGAGACAAAGAGATGGATCGCCTTGCTCGGGAGAAAGTCAAGGCTCAGATCGCGGCTGACAGAGCAGAGCGCGAAGAAAGAGCTGCCCTTCTACGAGGCGACGTTCCTGCACCGCCGGTACCTCAGCCATTCCAGGCATCCAATGTTCCTGTTACTGCAGCCTCGGCTACCACCTGCCGTCTCAAACTTCGGCTTCCTGATGGCAGTTCGGAGCTGGCTCAGTTTGAACCATCAGTCATGTTGAGCGAGGTCAGGCAGTATGTCGTGCGCAACATCACTCTTCCCTTCTCTCGCTTCAAACTTGTATCCAGCGTTCATCAGCGACCGTTCACGGACCAAGACATGAACACGTCCCTTGCTGACCTCGGTCTGGCCCCGTCTGCCATCGTCTTGGTGATGCCGAGCAACCTAGGTACCAGAAGTGATGGTGGTGTCGGTAGTGTCGTTAGTACTGGAGGCTCGTGGTTCAAGTCGCTCTTGTGGCTCGTCATGCTCCCTGTGAATGCAATAATAGGACTTGTGTCGTCTTTCTTTGGAGTAGCACCAACGACAGCCGCTCCAGACAGTCGATCTCAAGACAAACAAGGAATTGATAGTCAGTCAAAACCTACAGAACCTGCCAGACGCGCCACCGACCGACCTAAGACGTAAGTTAATGTCACAGGCATTTTACGCCTGGCATGCTTATGCAAAATATTTTTTCGAAGTTCACTATTTTTCACTTTATTTAGCTCAATCGTTCGAACATTCAATTTTATTTTACTGGTTCTACTCTTGACTACCAAAGATGATTTTCGGAATAAATATTGTTTTCAATAATTGTCTTTACATATGCGTCTATGTGAAAATATTGGGTCATCAAATAACTTGTTTGTAGAATTATTCACTGAACTTATAAATTTACAGATTTTCTTCAAAGAGTTGCAGCAAATGAAATTATTTAACTTTGTTTATAACAAATTTAAGAAGTAATTTCTCTGCAGAGCTTACGGTACCAGATCCCAGGCGCGCTACAGGAGGGACGGCAACATCCACAGACTTGGTAACGAAAGCGACGATGACGACGAAAACAACACATGGAACGGCAACTCCACCCAGCAGATGTAGGGCTGATATCATGACGAGAACAACCCATGGAACGGCAACTCCACCCAGCAGATGTAGGGCTGACGTCGTTGTTAGTATTGTGTTAGTAAATGAAACGAATAGCCCCACGTTGGCTGGCAAATAAAGGTCTGCCATATGCGGTATAGATTACACTGTATAATTCCTTAGCGACATGTTGGGTAGTAGCGTTGTTACATATTAACTTACAAGTAGAATATTTGAGATTTATTTCACCGCCTGCTATTGTGAATAACTGCACGTGCACCCGAGCAAGTAAGACTAGTCTGTTGGTTGGATGATGTTTAGTGTGAGAGTTTTGCATTTCACATTGACACCAAGGTCTTGGTCTGTCAAAGACAAGTTGCGAATTATGTTCAGATGGCTATTGGTGATGTGCAATAGAAGAGAATTTCTCTCTCGCTGTTCATCTTGCACTCTTAGTGCATCGATCCCAAAAAGCAGTAATTTCTTGATGTGCACTTCTGCTCTGTGTACTGCGTGTTGGCACGGATCGTTTTCTACTGTTAATGAACAGTGTTCAAGATATAGCGGCTCTTGGCGATATTCTTCGATTGTAACCACTTTTCCAAGGATCACGTCGACGTTTGTTTACCAGCGTTTTTTGTCGATATCCAGTCATATGCATGACAATGCCTGATTTTTTACATCTGTTGAAGAGGTTTGGGTCTGAAATCTTCATGTTCAAGTGTTGGTCAGCTCAGTGAAATGCTAATTGCGGATACGACGTATATACGGCTATTGGACAAATGCTCCTATTCTCTTCCCTTGCAGTGAAAAAATGTATGCCATGCACGAATGCATCATATTAGCAATTACTTTTTTCACCTTCGTTTCCTATCAAGTTCAGAACCTAGGCTTGCTTCATTTTTGGGTAAACATGAAACTGAACTATTTAAAATATCAAATCAACAGAGATATGAATTTGTAAAGATGGTTGAACTTTATTATAAATATATGTAGGAGGAATACGAGAATTCAGTTTTTTGTTCGACCATTCACCTGACTCCGGTCACCTTTTTAGTGAAATAAAGACGGATGATTATGAACTTTTATTCATTTTACTCGAGCATTCTAGAATATATTGGACTTTTTGTGCAGCGAGTGAGCTGAGCTAGTAGTACAAGCATTTCAAAATTGCAGCCACTAACTCCAGTTCTTCACCACAGCACTAAATGAACATTAGTAAAGTACATTATTACACGTCATCTGAGAAGACAATTCGGGTGATAATTGGACAATTTTGCCTGATTAACGGAATTAATTTCTGCGAAATTGGTGACCCAAAGAATTAACATTGGTACAACTCGACGCTGCGATGCAAGCAAACAATAGCATGGCTATAATTTATAATTATGACAAATTAAATCAACTCTGCATCCTTTATGATTACAAAACTTGCACATTAGTGGAAATTTGATAGTATCTTAAAAGTTTTACCGAGGATAGCAGGAAGAAAAGTTGGTACAGCAAAAATATTGAATGCAGAGAAGAAGGAATGCTCAAAACTACCAGAAAAGGAATGCACACCAAAAATCATCCTGAGGACCCAACATAAAAAATTGATAATAAATTAATTCAATACGAACACGCGACTTCAGCTCAATGAAACATTCGACGGGTTCAAAGGCTGCAATGTCATGACACGATAAGAAAGCTTTCACACACCAAACATGATCAATTACAAAGCTTTGGCAATAACGAATTTTTAAATAGCGGCAGCACGAGGATATAAATATAAACATTTGCAAACGAACAACAAACTAACAAGATGCCTAATAAATTACCTATCATCTCTTCCCAAAAATATTTAGTTTGCATTATATTAATCGAGGCAAGAGCGCTCTGATGCCGTGACACGGTAAATTTCTTATGATGGAAAACCGAGGTAAAAACGAATGCAGGCCTCACCCTACATGCAGACAAGTGCCCGCTCTGCCGTAATCTGACGAGCTCTTCCCGACCAAGTCATCGCAGCAAATAATGGATGACAAAATAAGCTTATATTCATGACCCTGGCTGGCCGGAACGATTCCAATTACCAATGAAAATCTTGCAAACCTCAATAAGTTGTGGTTGTGTTGTATATAATTCAGGCAATAGTTGAGTAACCAGAATACTTACAAGATCCTGAAGTTAAAAGCTCAAGTTCTACAGCGCACAACTATCTTCCATAATAAGAAGAGATATAAAGAGGCGAGATTGAAAGAAGACTCTGAACGAGCACAGAATCAGCAGTGTCGCATTTATAAATGCAACAAAAGGAGTAATCATGAATGTTTCATCCGTCGTTACCTAATTCTCCGTAAAATTCTGCATACCTTGCATTAATCACAGAAACATGCAGAAGACGCCTTTAATACCACACACAATTGCAGTAGTCTTCACTTTAATGCTTGATCACAAAGTTGCTAAGCTACACTATATGCTTCTGCAGTGCATATAGAAGCGCGAGGCGTTGCTGCGTCCGTGTCGGCTAACTTCTCTTCTCGTCCTCGCCGTTCGAGAGCCCGCTGAGGGGTACGGAGCAAAGCTTGGGGGCGTTGACCAGCTGTCTGCCCTGACGAAGCGTCAACAACGACGCCGCCACCACCATCGAGGCCCAGAACAACAGCGACAGCAGCGTGAAGGAGTTCAGTTCGGATGGCAACAGCACGCACGCAAACACCTGAAAAGCGATAAGAGCCGTCAATGCAGAGAACATTGCAAAAGGAGACTGTGGGGATTTAAAAAGTAATGTGGTGCGTTCTCCCAATTACATAACTGATGCAAACGCACGAAGAAAACCTCATAGATTTTTATGACCTTAAAAAACGTTTGCTGGTATTTCTCAAATAATCAAAGATTTACCCGCTATTTAGAACAGCTTAAACATAAAAAACTGAATAAAATGAAGTAAAATGTAGAACTTCTAACTCGTTTGTGTAGAGCTGAAGACTATACAGCAACTTATGACGTCCGATCGTAGAAATTTGAAGGAACAGAAGTTCAAAGTGTCTTTACCACTCTTACGCCAATTCTTGTACATATTGTAGACCAATTCAAGTCACACGATTCTGTAACCCCCGCTTTTTTAATTTTTTATTTGAAATATCTGTCAGCAACGGTTTTATGAGGCAGATAAACTGTCCATTGTTTGATTGCTATTCCTCAATCACAGCGTTACTGCGTTTCAGAAAAAATCTTGCCTAAAAGTAGGTAACAGAATACAGCTGAAGCATGAATATTTATTTTTGAAGCTGTATTTAAAGCTTCGACCCATTGAGTAGCGATGGCACTTACCATCAGGAGCGAGAAGAAGAAAGCAAAAGGCAGAAGCAGGAGGCGCGGGTCTCGCGTGTCCCTAAGAGGGCAGGGAGAGGCGGCGCCCTCTGCGGAGGTGACGAGATGCTTCCCCAGCAGCAGGTCCAAGCCGTCCTGACGGTCACCGTCCAAGAAATTGTTTTTGATGTAGCGAACGGCGCTATTGTAGCCATCTTGCACCAGCCCCTGCACGGGAAGACAAAGCCCAACAAATGAGCCACCACCAACGAAATAAAATTATAACGGCGAGTCATCATGTTGATACAGATTAAAATCTAAGCCAGAGTATATTAGAATGACTAAACCAAAATTATTTTACATTTTTCAATAACAACCGTAACATTTTTATTGACAAAATTCTCGGCTACAGCGGTAGTCAATACTAGCCATACAACAATAAGCAAACCCACAAGATATTTTTAAACTTCTAATGGCGTAGACATTAAACAAACCATCTTTGTTCGCTTTCCAGTCCTGGTGAAATCTGTCTTAAGAGCTCCTGTACCAGAGTACTGAATACTGATTATATCGGCATGGTCAGCCCAGACGTTTTTGTAGAGATGCTCAAAGGAGACCTGGTCTTCAATTTTCTGATTGCTTTTGAGCACCCCCATGGTGGTGAGGGCGTTTTGGAGGTGGCGTCTGGCGAGCATGCTTTGCACGACATTAGTGCGGTCAAGGCAGTCAATGCAGTTTGTGCGGAACACGCCGTCCTGCTCCCGGAGCACCACGCCCTCGCGCAGCAAGAAGTATCCCATGGTCTCCTGATCCTGAACGAGGCGGTCCATGAGAATGCTTAGTCTGTCCCACCGCATCTTCCGACACTCATGATGGAAGTCAAAGTATTCATACTTTACGTTGTCTTTGACCATCTGTCTTGTGGAGTTGGCTACATGAAAATTGAAAGCTTCTTGCAAGCGACCTTCACTGCCTTTTTGATCAATTAAATTGACGGCAACCTGGCGACCATAAAGCATCACCTGTGATTCAAAATGCCATCCAAAAGCCTCCTCATGATTGTCGTTTGTGAGAGTTGGAGGAGGTTTGTAGCGGAGGTCGGGATCTTGCTTCCAGAAGAGAGGAATTGACCCACGTGTTTGAACAAACGAGGTTCTAAAGTCACGAAACTCAACTATTTGCTCGGTTTCAACATAGTTGGCAACAGCACCATCCTTGTCAACTCCTCTAGTCCACATTCGGGTGCCTGCTCTGTAGACGCTACGTCTTGACACCAAGCTCCACGTAAACCATTCTCCATTGATGCTGCACTGCTTGATGCATACAAATCCGTGCATCAGAGGCAGGCAGAAGCGACCAGCGTCCCGATGAAGTATCAAGTCCTGCATGAGGTGCTGGTTCCACACAAATCTTTGTTCTGCTCGTTCATGAAGAGACATTTGCAAGAAGTCTTCTGCGGTGTAGTACAATCTTTGCAGAGTGTGAGTGAGGTCGTATGTGTAAGAGAAGTAGAAGTATGGAGTGGATAGAGCCTGCTGAACAAGTGTCAAATACTTGTCATTGTACATCTTCTGTTCAGCTGTCAATGAGGCAGTTGAACGAGAGAATGGGATGATGTCAACAGCATCCAATTTCCAAATGGTCTGCCGGTGCAATGTGCCTATCTTTGATCTCTTCAACACTAGGATAAGATATGGTCCTGATATGAGCCGGATCATGCCAAGGACTCCATAGACAGTCTTCCGAGAGGCTCCTAGAGGCACCTGGGGAGATTTTGGACTGGCAGCAAAATATGACGAAAACAAATCCCAAGTGGTCATAGTTCTCATTTATTGGTATCTCAACAGGTTATTCATCTTTGATACAGATAGCAATAGACAATTAAACAAAACTTTAAGTTAGCAATACAAACCCTTTGTAAGGGTCTAAAAATTTATATTTTTTTCATTTAAATTCCAACAGTCTAAGTAGATTTATACACACTGCATAGAGAAAAATTTTGGCCTACTGCAGAGCTCATGCTATATATATCACTCTCAGATGCAGGAAAGCATTTTAACTTCCACTATAAAAAGCTAGGTCACAAACCTGTCCTTTGTTGTCCTGCACAGCCACTTCACAGAGGACCCTGTCAATGACCATGATAGGTTGGCCTGGAGGGCTCACTGGCTCCAGATAAAATGCATCATCAGTGCAGTGAAGAATTAACTCCTCATGCACTTCTCCAGATCCCATGATGGAAACTTAAGCTTTTAATCTGGAATTCTGAAATTCTGTCATAAAATACATTAAATTACAAAATGTCAGAGAATAATAAACGTTATAAAACCTTACAGTGACAATTGTTTGACAATAGTCATATATTTCATCAGAAAAGATGCAAGATCATTAAGTGCATGCCTAACAAAAAATAAAAATGGTTTATGCATCTAATTTTATATTCCAAAACACTTTGAAAACAAATAATTTCTGTTGAATAAAAAATATTGAAGAGCAAAAGTTGAATTATGAGAAAAATTATAATCAAGAATGTAAGTTAAAATGTGACATAGAAGCAGAAATTAAGAGATTAAAATATCTTCAAAAATCACTTCAATAATTTCAAGAAATTTATTATTATTTCTTTAACCTATTAGGCTCCACACAAGTTTCTACATAAACCTTGAACCTTGAGTGTTTTTACAGAAATCTTGATTTGAGACTGAGATATTTAAATTTACACAGCAGTCTTCTATGATACCATCAAACGGGGTAATAAGGGGCAGACGGGGTAAATTATGACAGTCATCCCACATTTAGTAGAAATGTTGTAGCAGTTAAACTAATCAAAATAATATAAAACTAGAAATAGTGGCATAAATTTCAACATTTTTACTATCTACATAGCATAAAGCAAGTTAGGAAATCATACATTTACTACCTACAAGTCCTACATACATAAAAATACTCATGCATACAGAAAAGTTGCACACATGTGTTAGCTTCTTAACGCCTTTAACGGAATTGGCCTATCTCATTAAAAAAATGGTGGCCATTTCCGCACAATGGGGTAATAAGGGACCCCCCCCCCCCTCGGGGTAATAAGGCACACCCCTAAAGATGCATTTGCAGTAGAACCTTGGTTAGCAAAGGCTTCAGTTAACTAAAAAATCAATTAACAACAAAAAATTCATATTACATTTACCTTGCTCAGTGAAAAAAAAAATTTCGCTTAACAAAAAACTAAATGCATCATCAGTCCTCACAAAATTGTGCATAAAATGTTTAGGTTATGATTGATTTATTATTATTATTTTGATGCTCTGCACATGAATCTTAATTGCCAAATTGTTGTAATTCATGCTATTTCCATTAATTTTGTCAAAGTTCTTCAACTAATTGATGATATTTTATAAACAAAAAAAGGTTAATTTGTCCTATTGGCTTGCAGTTTTATACACAATTAGTGTAAGAGAGTTTTACTTGATCATTTTGCATTGGGAAATTATTCAAAAATCTACACTTTCTTGACACTGGAATGTGTGCCCTGCTCCTGTCCTGGCAAAGAATACATCTACCTTTCACTAACTCAGGCCCAAATGCAACTAAAGTGTTAAGAGGCGGGATCTTGTGGTAACGTCACACAATATATATGTCCTAAAGCAATTAATTTTAGAAACATTTTGTGGGCTATTATAGGTTTGAAATATACTACACTTCTCATTAAATTGAATAATTAAAACTCATTATTGTTAAAAATTAATAAATAAAAATGTGGAGTTGTAATTTCATTCTATATTAATTTCCTCATATGGCTGTAACTCTTATAAAAAACATTTTAAAGATAGACTAATTGCAAACTAGTAATGGATAAATTCATGTGATGTGAGTCATGTTTTACTTGAAAATTATCATTTCAGGTCATGAATTTAACTTGTAACAAGTGAAATTAGTTCTTGTCTAGTTGTCTAGTTCTTTGTTAGCAATCAATGTCAATAATTTTTTTAAACCATACATTTGATCAGGCTGAGCAACAAAAATAAATGACAAAAGATTCTTAATGTTTCTCAATATTAATGACATTCAAATCTATGCAAAAAAAACATTAATTATTTTAATTTTTTGGGCATTTAATGACAAAATTTGACTTGAAGACTGCCTTTTAATTTGAAAAAATTCAAATTTGAAATGGCTGCTGCCTGCTGATGATGTCTCTTTTGTTTATTTAGTTTGCTAGTACAGGTGTGATCTTGTAGAGGTGATGAAAAAGTACTGTGTTCCAGTCCATAAAGGAGCATTGATCAGTTTGAAATCTCAAAATACTACCATCAGATGGGGTAAAAAGGGACAGGCAGGGTTAATTGGGACGCACGTCCCACATTTCGTAGGAATGTTGTAGCAGCTGAACTAATCAAAATATTGCAAAACTAAAAATAGTGGCATAAACTTTGACATTTTTACTATCTAATATGTTTAAAGCTAGTCGAGAAATCAAACATTTACCATCTCTAAAAAATTGCTGAAAAAAATGTGTGCATTCCAAAAAAAATGGCAGCCATTTCTGCGTGACGGGGTAATAAGGGACACCCTTTGGGGTAATTAGGGACTCCCTCTGGGGTAATTAGGGACACCCTCTGGGGTAATTAGGGACACCCTCTGGGGTCATTAGGGACAACCCCCAGGGTATTAGGGACAACCCTAAAACACATTTACAGCAGATCCGCTGTTAGCAAAGGCCACAGTTAAGATAAATATGGGTTAATCACAAAGATTTTTGCTTAAATTTCAAATTTAAGTGGCTCCTTGTCATTACATTACCGTCAACCGGGGCTACTTGGGACAATTTCAAACGTTTTTCATTCATAACTCCTTACCATGAAACATTTCATAAACAAGTTTAGGCTCATTTCAAAGCTCTTTGCAAGGGCTATTGCATGGCTTCTCCAAAAAAATTCCATATGCTATTTGTAAGGTGCCAGAAGCAAAAAAAAGTGTCCCAAGTAGCCTCGTCGAATGGGGCTACTCAGGACATTTGGAATAAAACTTAATTTCAAAACATTTGAAGCATGCAGAGTGTACTCATCCATTACTAACAGTACTCTGAAAACCTCCTCTTTCATTGTAGATGATGTAGAGGTAGAATAAATGACATTTTCTGTGATTTTTACTTGTTTTTCCTTTACTGATATGATATTACCATATACATCAATTACCGTATTATTGATGGGATATTACCGTATCCATGAACAGGCCATTGAGCATTTCAACTACCTTGTCCACTGCAAGCTTCATATCAGCAGCCTTAGAGCATTTTTTCTGTATCTGCAAGCTTACAGGACAGCTTGTAATTTCACACCATTTTAATTGGGTTAAGTGAATTAACTATAAAAAAAGATTGTGAAAAACATAGCACCTGAAACAGAAAGGAATGTTTTAGTGACAACCATCATATGTTTTGGAGAAATAAACCATAGTTTAGGTCAATTACTTTTCATTCTATGATGCCTGGTGTACAATTCTATATATGACATTCAATGCACAATTTTGTGATGACCGACAATGCTCTAATTTTTTGATAAGTGAAATTTTTTTGCTGAGCAAGGTATATGTAATCAATATTCTACATTTTTAATAAATTTTTTCTTAACTGGAGCCTTTGCTGAGGTTCTACTGTAAATGCATTTTTGGGGGTGTCCCAAATAGCCCGAGGGGGTGTCCCGAATAGCCCCGAGGGGGTGTCCCGAGTAGCCCTGCCGTGCGGAAATGGGTGACATTTTTTGGGGGGATTGAGGTATGTAAATTCCACAAATAAAGTTTTCATGCTGACACTTGTCTGCCACTTTTTTCTAAGCAAAATTTCTTAATATGGCAAATATTTTTTTTAATGCAGACCTTAGCAGAAGTAACTTTTCAAAATATTGTTTTTCACCATTTTTTTCAGGAATTTTTCAAAGCTAGTAAATGTTGTATTTTTGAACTTTCATAGATAGGAAAAATTTTGACGTTTACACCACTATATTTAGTTTTGCAATATTCCAATTAGTTTTGCTATTAAAACAGTTTTACGCCATGTCGGAGGACTGTCCCGAGTTACCCTGCCCGTCCCGAGTAGCCCCAGTTGACGGTACAGCTAAACAGAAGAGGAGGACTTTGGAGTACTGCTGGTAATAGGTGAGTACACTCTGCATGTTTAAAATACTTTAAAATTATGTTTTATTTCAAGTGTCCCTTTTTACCCCATTTCCAGATTAATTCATGAGCATTTTATATTGCGTCTGGCACCTTACAAATAGTATATGGAATTTTTTGAAGATGCCATTCGATAGCCCTCGCAAAGAGCCATAAAATGAGCCTAAACTTGTTTGTGAAATGTTTCATGGTAAGAAGTTATTAACAAAAAACGCTTAAAACCATCCCTTTTTACCCCGTTTGACAGTATGATTACCTATTGAATTGCACTATGTACAGAAGTATGATAGGTATTTTACTGCTCAATCCTTTATTTTCAATTTAAATCCTCAATTGCAATTTGTGTATGTTGTATTGAATAGTATGTGCACTACAACTGTACATTGTATGTTGTTTCCTGCGCAGTCACACTCGCTGGGGGGGGGAGGCTCTAGTGGTGGCTAGAGGGGAGGTACCAGAAGAGAAGGAAGATGGTCAAAGGCAAGGAATGCAGCCAGGAACACTGCCACCTCCACAGGGCAGTCCTACAATACGGAGACACTAAGGGATGTTGTGGGGAAGGAGGGGCAGGCAAAGATGCTGGACAGACTGGAGGTGGAGGAGGTCCCTGCACCTGCAGGTGGTGCTGGGGGAGCATCCAATCCTGAAGGTGTAGGATGCCAGGGAACTAGTTTCTGGAGATGGGCTGAAATAGCACTGAGCATTAAGGGAAGGGCAAGGAAGCAAAGCCTTTTCTGATGCAATCGGTGGTGGTGAGACTACACGGACAGCGTTATCGTCAGTTCCTGCAATGTGGGAGGCAATCTCCCTGCAAATGGAGCACCCTGCAAAAGGAGCCTCTCCATAGGCACAAGCGGACATGTTTGCAGAAATGGCGCAACAAGTTGGCCAAATCTCGAGTGGATGGAAGCTTTTATGGGGGTCAGCAAGGAGAGCAGAGGCAATATGGGATGAGGTGTGAGAGGGTTCGAGGGTGCTGGCAAGGAACTGGGCACAAGCCAGGTCCAGGTGTGCAGACAGTGGAAGTATAGATGGGCGCTCGGTGATAATTGAGGCAGCCGCTGGCTAGTATCAAGGCACAGTTTTTGATAGTTTGGAGGCTTGCTATTGCAGTGCATGAAGTGACAGGGTACCAGATGGGAACAGCATAATTGAATATTGGGCGCATGATTGTCGGGTAAGTGGCAATGATGTCCTCCTTCGATTCCTCCTTGGAGGAACCCCAGTTAGCGCTGGCAAGGGCTTCCAAGATATGTAAAGAACCCATCACTTTAGTGGCTATAGCTCTGACATGAGATGAGAACATGTAGCAAATGACCCAGCTGATGTCTAGGATTTTGGGGGTTTTATCTAAAGGGATGAGGCCATTGCAGATTGTGGCAGAAGGGTGTGATTAGGATTGATGAGCGTCTGAGGAGAGGAGCAGGACAGAGGACTTTTTCAGTTTTAAAGTAACGTTTATATCCAAATTAGAATTTATTTAGCAAGCACTTCTTGCATGAGACACTTTGAAGTTTTTCAATGTTAACAGCATTGAAATTCATGCAGAAGCAAAAATTTGTAAATTTTTGGGCTTCTAAGGACTTTAAACTGCACTTTATCCATGCATTTTGCTTTCAAATTCCAAATTCACCACCAAGCAAGGCTAGCTGCTGCATCTGCTGGCACAGCTTGCTGCTGACACAATGCTGGCCCAACCCTTTTGTTTGTTTAGTGTGCAGCTATTGTTTGTTCAGGAAGGAGCTAGTGTGTTGTGTAGCTGTTCCTAAAGAATCATTGGTTGGTTTAAAATATAATGAGAACATGGTCTTTTATATTACCTACAGAATTGCACTATAATTGTGGTCCCTTTTGCTGCAGCTCTCCAATCTTCAGTGTCAGAGAACCAGGAGAGGTGATGGGCATTAAAGTTGCCCACCATTAGACAGTCACCCAGGATGATGGCAATGTCTGAGACTGTGAGACATCCGGGGAATATCCCATGGGGCAGGAAGAGGCCAGTGGAATGCAAATGTTGATTATACAGAGGAAGGACTCATTGAGAGGAGTGGAGATTGCTGTGGCCTCCATGGTGGTGTAGCAGCCCAACTTTCTGAATGTCGGTCTTGCTCTTCTTTTCTTTCCGACGCCTTACTCGGAGCTGAAATTGGACATGAGCCAGGTTCGGCTCACTCTTGGTTAAGCCGCCTACCACAGCGGGCGTGACTGCTTGTGGTCGCCATGTGCCGGCCTGCAGATCTGGCTCTATATTGAACTATCGGCTTGGCTGTTCTTCGTTGATCCCTGGGCTGGTTGCTACAACACATCCTGCCCACGGTCATGGGCTGGTGTGGCTACCAGGAGGATACTCAAGAGAACCAGCCTCAACAGTGATCCTTCGCCGACCCCTTACTTCGCCTGGATGTTGGAATGAAGAGTAATTAGGACTTTCTGATTTGTGACCGGGACACCGTACCCATGGAATCCAGTTCCGTTGCATTTGCTGCCGATGCTACCAGTTCTCTTAACCGTATGTTCCAAGCGGGAACAGGAGACTTGTCGAGAGTTCGACAGCCGATGTGTGAAGACCATGGAACGTGCCCGACTGGGTCAACCACCGACGCTACCATCCATCGTCTACGATGTGATTTCTGTGAAAGTCTTAAATGTACCTGTATTGTAAACTAACCGAATGTATTATGTGGATGTGAACCGTGAATATTAGTTATACAATCACTTCGAACTATACCGTTATTGTCTTTGCCCGTAAAAAACTGGTCCTGCAGCTAGACGGTTGGGCAAGACGTTTACTCTAGAAAAACACGGTTTGCCTAATTGTGTGGAGTTTTCAAAGAATTAGCCCTTCAACCCACCAGAGGTGCCATCATTCACCGATCAATTACTTAGTTTGTACTGAAATCAAGCCAGGTTGTCTGAGCTAGTTCAGGACCTTTGACTTATCTTGTGTTATGAATTTTCCTATTGTGTAGTTTAATTGCATCCTATACTTTTGACGTTCGCATTCGCCACTGCGGCCAGCGTCTACACTTATTGTCTTGCGTTTATGAACGAATGTTGCACAACCAAATGGTTTTGGATGGTGGATGTTAACTGACAACTACCTGCAGACGGCTGCTTCCGTGATGGATTAGAATGTTTTTGTACTAGCATGTCAGCATTGCCTAGGGGTTAAAGTGAGAAATTTTCATGTTTGATTCTAGGTTAAGGTTTTGTGTGCTAGTAAAAATGTATATATAGTGCAATAGGTATTACTGAATGGGGGTCAAGACTAGTGTAGTTTAAGCTGTTTGAGTATGGGTTTTGAAGCTCGCGGTTCAGAGCATTCTTCAAGCGTCTCTTATTAAATCTGTATAACTCTGATTTTTCCAACATTTGCTGATTTTTTCCCTAATTGCATTAATAGTTCTACTATCCTGTTGGGGTAGCAAAGTATGTTGCACCTCTCCCGCAACAGTGGTACTGTTGGGGGTCAGCCCCTCTAAAGGTCGGCAGTCTGGCTGGTACAATACCAGCACAGGAAACAAAAAAACAGACTCAGGAGGTCAAACAGTGGAAGAACCAAGCAAATCTGCATTAAATATAATCAGTGGTACATGAAGATGAAAGGTGAAAATTAGTTGGTTAGTAATGAGACAGCCCAGTGAGGGGTGAACCTAGCTTAAGAACATAAATAACCAGCAGCCCAAACTGGTTTGAACAGTAAAGATAAATAAGGATACAAGGTAAATAAACTAAACTGGCCCAGAATAATGATCAGTAACCTAAACCAAACCAAAAATAATGAAACCAAGAAATCAAGAGCTCAAAACGGGTCTTTGGCCAGGCCTGGTCCATCAAGTGGAGTCTGCACCAAAGAAACAAGATGGCGGTGGTCTTACTTGTGAGTAGCAGTGAAGTAGACTCAACTGGCAAGTTAGGGCAGTTCATACATGAGCCTCTAGACAGGACTTAAAGGGGCATCCATACTAGCCTCTAGCATCAGCTTGAGTAGCTGAAGAGCAGCCCAAAACTTGTCTGCAATGTAGCTCAGTCAGCCCAAAGCTTGCCTGACACTTGTCCAGAACTGGCCTCAAACTAGCCCAGAACTTGCTCCAAATTGAGCCAACACTTGTCTCAAACTGGTCCCAGACTTACCCAGAAGCCAGAATGCGCCCCAATTGGCTGCTCTGCAAAAGTGCAGGAACAAGAACTCATAAAACCTATCCAACAAAACACTTGAAACGCATAACTTCATAAGGACACTTAGAACACATACGAACACATTGACCTACCTAATACAGAACTCTAAAACAATTTTTAAGGGATGATGGATGATATATACAAACATATACTGATGACATTCAATAATTAAAATTTAGGACTGAGATTCGTGGTGAGAATGTTCCCTTGACTTACCTAATTAAGAGCCAGGATCATTTTAGTAGGTCAGTGACAGGACAGCAAGGAAGTCTTCATTGCCAGAAAGCAGGCTCATATACAGTAGGCAGCATGAGTGGTTGGTAAGTCAGTATTAGTACCAGATAAGCAGGACCATGGAAAATTAACTCGCTCCAAAAACACTTATTCACATTCCCATGCATTAATTTAACTTCAACTTTCAGTCACTTTATTAGTGTCAAATTTACTGTGTGGAATTCCAGAGGGGTAATATATTAACTGGTAAACACATGGCAAATCAGAACATGTCATAGCAAATCAGAAAGCAGGACCCAAAAATCTGGAACATCCAGCACTCTTCCACTTTCAGTCCATCATCATCACTGATGAGTCTCTGCAAGATGCCACAGCTGTTTCATTGAAAAAAATAGTGCTTGCATCATCACAGTAACAAGAATCCAATCCACGCTTGAAGTTGAACGCGTCCAACGTACTGTCACAGGGATCCAATCATCACTAGAACGTGTGCAACGTCACAGCCACTGGAATCCAATCAGCAATAGAAAGCTAGAAGGGACCACCTCAAATGCACACAATGTTACCGCACTGATGTTACCTTAATGCGTAATGCTACAATTCTTATTTCAAGAGCGTAATACAATAGTGTAGTTATATCATTATTGATGGAAATCGCAAAGAATAACATTTTCGCTATGTACACTCACTCACAAATACATGAAAAACTGCCTATGATTCAATCGACAAATACAAAACTGACCACTGATGCAATAAGCTGAGACATGGAAACTCCTGCAATTGCGATCAGGATTACCAACTTAACGAAAAACACAAACAAAGAAGGTAGCAAGCCGCAGGGACACTAACCATCAATATACTCATTTGAAAAAAAATGATAGATACGAATTCTTCTATATTACAAATTTATAAGTAACTGGCATTCAACAGAATGGTTTAATAACCTTTGTAAATCGTAAATGTTATACATGCAGAATCAATCATGTGCAACAGCCAAAGTGGTGGGAACGATGGTTAGTGTTTACTGTTTAATTGTTAGTTCTCGTTAAGCAATTGGTGTGTGAGTAACTGAATTAACTGCAGATAAAGCTCCTGAACTTGGAGACGATAATTGAGTGAAAACTTTACGTGATATATTGTGAGCCTTCTAAAGTTTTAATAATGAAGACATCACAAGGTTCACAGAATCTAAAGGTTTGAATGCTAAATTTTTAACTTTCGAGTACTCTATTGACTTGAGTATTCAGTGTATTCTAGTCAGTCAACCGTGAAGTGTCATGTTGTTTGTTGTGCATTGCCTTTTCTTCGAGAAGTTTCTCCAACTGCCGATGAGTTTCTCCTCAATTTGAAAGCTGAGGTAACGAATAGGTGCAATAAATGTTTTTTTTATATTTAATTTGAAACTATTATGTTGGGAGTAAATAGTATTTCCTTCTGTAGATCCATCCCTCTTGCTCATCTGTGACTGACGCGTGCAATTAACGTAACGATCTTGCATGGGACCTTCTCTGTGTTGCCTGACTTGACGTTCATATGATCATAGCTACCGTAACCGAAACCGATTTCTGACGGCCTGCAAACCTGTTTCTAGTTGCCTGGAACTTTTTTTTCTTTTTTCAAGGCGGAAGTCAGAACGCTTTTTTTATGTGAACCACAAATTTTAGAATTCCCGCCTGGACTGTTAAAGCACTGGGGACACTAAAAAATAATTGAAAATACTTAATTGAACATTCATTTGCCTAAATGCAGCCCCTAACAGTGTTTCAATGCAAAAAGGGAGAGATGTCTTGGCCAATATATATAGTCAGATCACTCAGATGAGGTAAGACAGGACCAAAATCACTAACAAGCCTGTAGCATCTACGGCCATCTATACCATGACTAACTAAAAAAACCCTAAACCTATCCCAAGGTGTAGTTATGCAATGGGCTTCTAAGCTACAACTCAGACTTTTTGCATCTAACACAGTTTTCTGTACAGATGAAAAAAAGGGAGCTGGTCCCATCTTACCCCACGGGCCCACGGCCCACTGGCCTGGGCCCTGGGGTCTGGGCACTCTGGGGTAAGATGATTGCCCCAGAGAAAGATTGACCTCTACAAGAAAGAAGTGGTCAAGGGTGAACCGGCATTGAGCAATTAACCAGAGCTGGGCAGCGCTACTTTGAAATGTAGCGGCGCTACCGCTACATTGTCTTAAAGATAAATGTAGCGTCACTACCGCTAGTCCGCTACTGAAAATGTAGTGGCCGCTACTGGCACTACATGTAGCGCGCTACTGCCCACCTCTGCAATTAACATGTTGAGCACTTGACTTGACTTGACAAGTTAGACGCTTGAGGCCTTTCTCAGAGACCTGTTTGTCTCTCTGAGACTATACTAACTTTGTAATATTAGCAAAATTCGGGGGCAGCTGGGTTGCAAAAAAAAAGTTAGTGTCTAGTTCTGGCATGATGGAGCATAGAGAGTAGGCAGATGAAGCCAATGTTTATCAAGGCGACTCTTGAAAGTATCCACAGATGGTGCTTTGACGACATTCTCTGGCAAGCTGTTCCAGTTTGTGACAATGCGCTGAGAGAAAAAGTTACCTCTAATGTTCAGTCTGAAGTGGCTCTTTTGGATTTTTAGAGAATTTTCGCAGAGGTCTCTCGCTGTAGCCATCGCAAAACTTGGGCGTGAGACATCATAGTAGCCATGTAGGTATTTATAAACCTCAATCATATCGCCCCTCAGCCGGCGGTGTTCCAAGCATGGTAACTTCAACGTCTTGAGCCTATCTGAGTAGGGCTTGTCTTTTAGTGATGCCAAGAGTTTTGTTGCTCGCCTCTGGACGTCTTCTATATCACTACATAGAGTCTTGTGTGCTGGTTGCCACACGCAGTGCCCATACTCAAGAAATGGGCGTACCAAGCTCTTAAACAGTTGAACGAATGTCTTTTCGGTTAGGTGATCAAAGGTTCTGCGAATGATGCCGACGACTTTGTTTGCCTTTGCTGAGCACTGAGCGACATGCTTCTTGAAGGATAGCTTATCGTCGATTATCACTCCCAGATCCCTCTCCACTTCACCCACCGCTAATTCCAGTCTCTCATCTTGTTTATTCATATAGTAAGTGCCTCGGGACTTCTGCCTGCCTAGTTTGATCACACTACACTTCTCAGGATGAATTGTCTGAACCAAAAGGGGGAAAGTCGCTGTTGTTTGCTTTTCCATGCTTGGATATGGTGCTGCCTGAAGTTTTGTTATTGCTACTGGCTGCAGAAGATGCCGTGCCAACTCCCGCCATTTTGCTCTGCCTCATTTTTAGATTTAAAGAACGGACAATCTTCTCAGCGGTGAAGAGAGATCAGTCGCCCACAACCTCACTCTGCCAATCTGCCTTATTATTCTGCGCACTTGAAAGTTGAAATACTTGTTAAAAAAACATTTATTTCCATTTTCCGGTACAAACACAGATAAAAACTTGATTGCCCTAGATTGGCACGCAGTGACGCACACGTGACGTAGACGCCTCACGCCACGCAGTGAAACGATTCCAGTCAGTAAAAAGTGGCAAAGGAAATCAACAATAGGAGAACAGTGAAAATTCACAGATCACTAATCACAGTCTATTTTAACCAGTAAATTTTAAACTGAATTTTTTATGAATTTACAATGAATAAACACTTGTCACATATCTTAGGGCCGTAGCCCACTTCTGGAATGAAGAGGATTCTGTGGAAGATCAGTAAAACGTGGTAAAGGGAACAGTGAAAATTCGAAGCACTGAGCAGTACAGCGTCAGGGTCGGCGAGCTTGAGAATGAAAACTGTGATACCATACGTTAGAGATGCACTCTCAGCCAGTCCGCCAGAGCGGCGGAGCCCTGTGCGCTGTGATAGCAACGCTCATAGCAATAATAACGATGTCTCCTACGGCCGTGCAGGGCTCGTGTAAGGCACTATCTGATATGTTCATATGAAGCACAAGGTAAACGTTCTAGTGGATACTGTGATTGATTGTTCGGTGGTTGACGGAGTGAATTAATACATTTCGTTTTATTTATTATAAATTAACATAGCAGAGTGTTGTTAAGGGAATGACGATGGCATTACAGTATAACGCAGAGTTAAAGACCTAAAATATTTGTCAAAAATAGTGGATAAACGTGCTTCAATAACTCCTAAAATTTTGCTCTACCATATATATGTAATATTTTTTATATCGCATAGCAGTTAATGGCATCTGTGAAATTCTTTCTGGCCTCAGTGTTCTTCGATTAAGCGATAAACACTTAATATCCTACCAGCCGAAAGCTTCTGCAATTATGCATGCAAATATTGCCCACATCCGGTTGTAAAAATTGCAAGGTAGTTGCATCTTCAAAAACGCCCAAACACACGTCTCGCATAATTTTACGGCCGGACTTGTGGCCGCTCTCGCAGCAAATTTCCAAATTCATAGAACAAGGAATATCTCCCAAAGCAATTAACGTAGCTCGATGAAACTTGGTACACGTAGTCATTTGCTCCTAAAGGTGATGTTTAGTTCGTGACAATTTGTGGAATTTCACCTTCATTCGTGAGTTTTATGACGATACGTGCCAAAATACACAGTGAACAAGACATTTCTTCTAAACTACTGAACAGATTCGAATGAAATTTTGAATATACAAACCTAACCTCCCAACGGTGATATTTAGCTCGTGACAATTTTTTAGGTTTTGCCTTTGTTCGCGATCTCTTTCTTCATTTATCCCTCATTTGTGATTTAAACAGCAATGCGTGCTTAAATTCGCAGTGGGGTGCATGCCAGAGGCCAGCATTGCCCAAGACCAGCATATTTTTCCTCCTCCTTCCGTGCGTAAGCCTGCTAAAGGGCAGAGTAGACTAAGGGATTATATGTTAAAAGCCAAAGGTACAAATCCCCTTCATGGAAATTCATCAGCGAGCTAATGAGAAGTAAGCCACCAATACAATCGCTCTACGCCGTATTAAAACCGCCCAACAGCTCTATCCCATGCCGTCTAACCTCCTCACGATTTTCGGTAAGCAACTCCCTACGCCATACCGCTGTTGATAACTTGATACACAGCCAGCACTCCAGCCCCAGCCCGTCCGTTCGTCGCAGCTGTTTTCCCTCAGCATAACTCTACCTCCACGCTTACCCCGTCTCCCCGTCTAATTTTTTCACCGACTGCCGGACGGCTTTTCTTAGTTTCTGCTCACTTGACTGCATTAC